ACAATCTTCAACAACCATGTTGGATTTTAAATGCTGCTGAAGTACGAGACACTTTGTGCCGTGCCGTATGAATGTGAACATGATGCAACTCAGTCAAAAGTCAACCACCAAAATAACATCTGAAATAAATAAGGTGCCTCTGAAATGTGGGGCACATTGAACCCTGCAGATTATCTGACAGAAATGATGCACTTCACTTTAAAGTTAATAAAACAACATGTAAATTATAATTAAATTCCAGCTGAAATGAGGCATGTTGCTGCGTGCAGTATGAATATGAACCTGCACATTATCTGACAACAACTCTTAAAATTAACAAATAATATAACGTCTCAAAAAAGATTCATTGAATTCATTTTCTAGATCAAAGTGCTGCCAAGCTGCGCTGGTTTATGAGAGGATATCTCTCCAGTTTAAAACTCCAGTCTACTGGAGCGTTACTGTGGGGAGGGGGACTGCTGTCTGATGGCTCTGTAGCACCCACTAGTGGCGGGCGGCTGCATGACAGTTAAGCAGCCTTGTACATAAATAAAGCACTACTAGGTTTAACTGACTAATATTTCTGGTGTCGACCAGCGAGGGGGCGGACGTGTAATCGTTAAGATGACTAATAACGCTCATCCCTAATCCGGAAGTTCTCAGTCGGTGCATCCCTAGAGGTTTCCCTTTAACGAGGTGATGACAGATCATTTGTGTCGCAGGTGTGAGTTTAGTTTAGCAGACGGGAGTCAAGTTTTTCCCGGATCAGTGGTGAAACAATGAAAACAAAACTTAGTATTATATTAAAGAATCAATAAACCGCCGTCTGATCTTCAGTGTGTGTGTGTTGACTCTCCTCAGGTGGCCGACGTGTTCACGCAGCTGAAGATCAGCAGCGACTATCCTCTGGCTGAGACGATGATGATGCTCGGCCTCTTCCTCACTGTGTTCGTGGAGCAGGCCATCCTCACCTTCAGGAAGGAGAAACCGTCCTTCATCGATCTGGAGACCTTCAATGCCGGCGGCTCAGAGGCCGGCAGCGATTCAGAGTACGACACGCCCTTCATCTCCCCTGCGCGGGGCTCACCGGGCAGCGGCGGTCACCATTCCCACGGACACCACCACGGACACTTCAGCCCTGCCGAGCTGGCAGGGGCGGGGCCTCTGCGTCTGGCCAGCCTGGTTCTGGCTCTTTCGGCTCACTCGGTGTTCGAGGGCCTGGCGCTCGGCCTGCAGGAGGATGGAGCCAAGCTGGGCAGCCTCTTCCTGGGCGTGGCCGTGCACGAGACGCTGGCCGCTGTGGCACTCGGTGTGAGCGTGGCCAAAGCGTCACTCGGCATGAAGGACGCTGTCAAGCTGGGCGTCACGGTCAGCCTGATGATCCCGCTGGGCATGGTGGTCGGGATGGGCATCGAGTCGACGCAGACGCTGGCGGGCAGCGTGGTGTCAGTGGTGCTGCAGGGACTCGCTGCCGGCACCTTCCTGTTCGTCACCTTCTTTGAGATTCTGTCCCGAGAACTGGACGATAAACAGGACCGGCTGCTCAAAGTGCTCTTCCTCATCCTCGGCTACACTGCACTTGCTGCACTCGTCTTCATCAAGTGGTGACACGCAGGAAGTGCTCTGACACACACAGCAGTACCAAAGGAAAACTCATAACTCCACAAAGGCAGCAGAGTCCAGCTGTGAGAGGCGGAAACATCTGGAACAGCTGTGTCTGCGATGTAGGCAGAATCAGGCAGGGTTTGTCGGCTGCGGTTTTTAAATTTGGCCCCTCCTCCCTGCTCAGCAATACCAGAAGTGGTTGCTGTTTCACCTCGCTGTATTTGTGTTTTCATTATGTACGTATCAGCAGGAGGTCACGCACCACTGCCCAAAAGCTGGCGCCCAGAAACATCCCGAACACAACAGAAGAATAAAATCCAGGCAGAGGGCAGAATCTCTGCAGAAAAACACATCGTAACTGACCTCCTGTGGTTTAACTCCTCACCTGGCGGCAGTGATGTACAGGTGTACTCCAGCAGACTGTGACATCACTGATGGGTGTTTTTACAGGTGCAACAAATCTGGACCTGCAGCAGGTCAGAGCTTCCTGTGGAGTTTTCTTGTAAACAAAGTTTCTCACTAAAACTCGTCGTGTTCCCTCGAGGCCACGCCTGTGTCTCTGACGTTCACCCCAAAGAACTTTTTTTTTCCCCTTTTAAATAAAAAACTCTTAACGATACATTAAAAAAACACGTTAACATTATTTTTGACTACAGAAAGAATAAAAGTGGTTTTAGTTGGACATTATTTGTTACAGACCTCCAGGGAAAAGTTTACATCATGAGTGGGAACTGAACTCCACACTGTAGGACGCTGTTTGTTTTTCCAAATTTGGTGTTTGAAGTTCATTAAAACGCAGGTCGGAGCTGCTAAATGGAGTGAAATGTAGTGACATAATAATTTGAGAATTGGAGACTTTTCTAAAAGTGAATCTGTTTGTTCTCTGTATCGAGATTTAAAAGTGGTGTGTGCGACATTCAGAGCATATCAGTGATTCACACATGGCTGAGCTCGCAGCGAGAAGCTAACGGTGCTAACAACAGCAGCAGTGCTGAAAGAGCTAACGGTGTTAGTCTGGGGGAACTGGAGGGTGGGCGCTACGCCTCCACGACAACACGTTATCAGCAGTAACCACCCTGTGAGCACAGTGCAGAGCAGCGGTGATGAGCCAGCCAGTGGGAAACGCACAAAGGACGGGCCGAAAATGTGCATGGATTGGCCGGGTGGAGGAGGTCTCGGGCTGTGGGAAAAATAAATATTATTTGTTTATGTATTTTTGAAATAAATAATATAAAAACGTGCAGCTAAGGAAAGAAGCAGAGAGAGCAGCCAAGCACTGAGCTGAGCTCTGTCCTTCCTCTCGGTCGGAGTGGGGAGCTTCTCTGGCGGGGAAATACGGTGATATTTACTGCTTTTATTGGCGGGTCGGCTGAGTGTGTCATGTGATAATCTTGGACGGACTGGGTTCAGGATTTAGCTCACGCGGGTCAGTTCAGTTCAGGTTGTAATTTTTCGGCCCGTTTAAAACTCTAGCGTTAACGTGCACATGCGTCCGGACCGTCAGAGCACAGAGAAGCTCTGAATGTCGTACACAGAACCTTTAACTGAGCTTTAATGTTGCAGCTACATTTATACACTGCTGGGTAGATTCATATATAATAATACGTGATTATTTATTTGTTTATCATATTTTGTATCAGTAATCTGAATCTAAAGTGCAGTAGAAAGTACAGTGTTTCCTCAGATATGATGGAGTAGAAATATAAAGTGGAAATACTCAAATAAAGTAAATCAAAATTGTTCTTCAGTATTTGTGTACTTAGTTACATTCCACCACTGCGGCAGTGAGGTATGACACAGTTTCATATATACTGAAGCTTTGAGCTGGTGTTAAGGTTAGTTTTTCTAATAAACCTGCTGTGTTTGTATGAAATAATCACACTGGAGCCTTTTAAAGATGATCTGCATATGTCCATGTAATCTTTATGTTTATGACCTTTTCATTGTTGTCTGTGTTCATGTCGTGATGTTGACGAGTTTTGTATTTATGAAGGTTTGTGTCGTCTCATCATCGTCTCATGGTGTGCTGGTGAAATTAAACAGATTATTATCAGACTGGATTATTTATGTGGTGTAAACAGCAGCAGACACAGAACAACATGACGTCCGTCTGATAAATGTAAGTCCCATTTTCACTCTCAGTCAGCTCCATTTTACATCTCTCTCCATCATCATCTTTTATTTTGGTCACTGACTCGTGTTTCTCCCTCAGATGCTGCTGCACGCCGTAAAGTTTGCTTTGAGAGATTGACACTGAACTCAACGTCTGACTGAAGGTAACAAACCAGTTCACAAAACATGAAGCTCTTAAATAACACCCTCTTCCTGTTCACAGAAAGCACACTGTGACTTCACTTATTATGGAAATTATAACTGTTAGAATCTGTTTTATTTTTACTCAAGAAATGTAAGTGATGAAAACTATCAACATACAAAAATACATTAAAGATAAAATAGTAAAAAATAAAGATCTATTAAAAACTAGAATTGTATTCCTCAGCACAAGTTTCTCGTACAGTTTACATCCATATCCTTCTGTTCCTGAGATAGACGTTGAGTAATGGACCGAAAAGTGTTTTATGCGGAATGTGATGATGTCACAGTCAAGCTGACCTTTGACCTTTTGGATATAAAATGTCATCGCTTCATTATTTTATCCTGTTAGACATTTGAGTGAAACTTTGTCATAATTAGTGTTTGAACTCTTGAGTTGTGGACAAAAACATGTTTTGTGAGGTCACACTGACCTTTGACCACCAAAATCCTAATCAGTTAATTCTTCAGTCAAAGTGGACGTTTGTGTCAAATCTGAAGAAATTTCCATAAGCTGTTCTTGAGATATCGTGTTCACGAGAATGAGACGGATGCAAGGTCACATTGACCTTTGACCTTTGACCACCAAAATCCAATCAGTCCATCGTTGAGTCTGGTAAAGGGAAGGAGTCTGTCACCAATTTTTAACAGGTTCACACGTGTTTAAAAAGCCTGCGTACATTTTTTTTTGGCGACGTCCATGTGTCCTCAGGTCCCAAACATTTACTGAGTGTTGGTCAAAGACAAGGTGACGTCACAGTGTGAAATAGGGCTGCAACGATTAGTCGACTCATCGTTGACTAATCGACTATTACAATAATCGGTGACTATTTTAGTAGTCGTCTAATCGGTTTGAGTCATTTTTCATTGTAAAGTACTATAAAGTACTCAAAATACTCTTATTGCAGCTTCTTACGTTCAGATATTGGCAGCTTTACACACTCTCCCATGACGTGATCCGAAACCCTTTGGTGTGAGTACGAAACAAGATGACATCATTTTGGGGTTTGGGAGAGACAGGCTGACATTTTCAACATTTTAACACATTTTGCGATAAAATGATTAGTCGACTAATCAAAGAAATAATCGACAGATTGGTCGACAGTGGCTGTGTCCCAGCTTTATTAAAACCTGCTGCAGAGTGAGTGCAGATTTACAAAAAACAATAAAGTTTATCAGTTTGAACATTAAATATCTCGTCTTTGTTCTGTCCTCAACTGAATTAAGGTAATAAAAGATTTGCAAATCAAAGTTACATTATTCAGATCAAACAACATCTCCGATCTTTTTGTCTTTTATCTTTTTAGCAGTTTTACAACTAGTACAAGTAACACTGCTAATACTAACACGTACACTAACACTGGTGGTGCTGCTGGTGCTGCTGGTGCTGCTGGTGGTGCTGCCGGTAGGTGAATGGAGTACAGTGTCGGAGCAGCATCTAGTGGACATGAGAGAGAATGTCAAGAAAATATTTGTTGCAGAAAATGTTTTAAAAATGTGCACAAATTATACTTCAGGTATGTCATTAAATATATTTTGATACTTAATACTTTTGTACTTTAATGCAGGAACTTTTCACAAGGTATTAATGCACAGTGGTATCTTTGTTTATTTAAGTAAAAGATGTGAGTACTTCACTTCACATTGACTAACTTAATTTTCTGAGTTTGCTGAAGTGTTTTTTCTCCAAATGTTTACAAAAGATGACAAACAGCTGTCGGCTTTGAATTTAGTTCTGAAAATAATTTTAAATATTTAATATTATTAAATGAAAAAGTCATACAGTATATAGCACTTTTCTTGACAACGTAATAAAGTGTGTCTCATAAACAAACAGCTAAAAACCCTAAAAACATTCAAATCTAGTTTCATATTATATCGTATTATTTTATATGATGTTATTTTGTATCGTATATATATTTTTACCTTATGTATTTACATCTGTACAGTACACTGTATGAATATGAAAAAAATGGAAGCTACCACTGTCTACTAACATTAATAACTGACGCTTTACTTTCTCCGACAATAAAAACACGATACAGACGTTAACATTAGTTGAATACACCGTGTTCTGTTGGGCAACAACAACACGCAGAACTGCAGAACGCTATAATACTGGAACAGAATAATAATGTTTATTTAGTTTTTGATTATTATTACATTTGTTGATTATTATTTTGGACACAGGAGTTTTGTTGTCTGTCGCAGACTTGCAAATTTTATGTCTCTGCGCCGGTGATAGGCGCAGCAGGAGGCATTGTGTTTTTGGGATGTCCGTCCCATTCTTGTAACTGAGCTCAAGAACACCTTGAGGAAATGTATTCAAATTTGGCACAAACATCCTCTTTGACTCCAGAATGAACTGACTAGAATTTGGTGGTCAAAGGTCAAATGTTAAGGGCACTTTGACCTCTGCGGTCTGATTCTTGTGATCGCATTGTCTCAAGACCTCGTTGAGAGAATTTCTTTAAATTTTGCACAAACATCCACTTGGACTGAAAAATGAACTAACTAGAATTTGGCGGTCGAAGGTCAAGGTTAGTGTGACCGAAAGTGCATCTCATATAGTGAACACTATAAGGCCTAGAGGGAAATTATTCAAATGTGGCACAAACATCCACTTTGAGTCAATGATGAACTGATTTGGTGGTCAGTGATCAAGGTCGCTGTGACCTAGCGTGTGTTTCATTCTTGTGAATGCCATATCTCAAGAACGCCTTGAGGGAATTCCTTCAAATTTGGCACCAACGTTCACTTGGGCTCAACAATGAACTGATTAGATTTAAGAGGGCAAATGTCAAGTTGACTGTGACCTTGCATCTGTCCCATTCTCATGAATGCAATATCTAAAGAGCAGCTTAAGGGGATTTCTTTAAATTTGACACACACTTGGACTGAAGAATAAAGTCATTAGAATTTGGTGCTCAAAGGTCAGTGTGACCTCACAGAACATGTTTGTGTCCATAACTGAAGAATTCATTCACTAATTCTGACCAAACTTGACACAAATGTCTAACAGGATAAAATAATGGTCAGCTTGACTGTGACATCATCATGTTTTAACGTCATATCTCAGGAACAGAAGGGGAGACATTTGGTCAGATACTGAATTGGTGACTCTAATCTTGAAACTGTGCTGATTGATTAGTGGCATATTTGAATATCATCTATTATAATTACTGCGGTGTGATACGGGCAGTCTGAGGGCTCTGACAGGAAAAAGCATCTTTGATCACAGAACCTGATGAAAATGGAAATCTGAAAGTCTCACTGACCCTAATCTGAGCTGACAGAGTGAAACCTCACTGAGTCCAACAGCTGCAGGATCCTCTGACCTCTCTGCTGACTTCTTGACCACGACAGTTGAGCCAAAACCTGAGGAACAACAACAGGACGGTGTCCAGCAGCAGCAGCAGATGCCACAACAAAGGCGTGTGAGGTTGTTGCACCTCTTTAAGCCTCTTAGCGGCTGTAAGTCTGCAGCCGGCCTGCAGCGTTGCCGTTGGCTCTGATCATGATGATTTAATCCCTCAGTGGAAAAGGTTAGCTCGTCTTTGGCTCTCACAGGTCTGTCACCCTGCCAACCGCACACAGGCCAACAGAAAACTTGGACAGCATGGAGGAGCTTCTTTTACCGAGCGGAGAGGAGGAGGCGCGCTCCGACCACAGCTCGTATGCTCCGGGAGACGCAGGGATGACGATGGGAGACCGGGTCAAGACTTTTGTCCAGGGGGACCTGAAGAAGAGCGCGAGGGATTTCTTAAAGAGGAACGGGCTGCTGACGCTGTCAGTCATCGCCGTGCTCACTGGCTGCACGCTGGGCTTCATGCTGAGGGGAACCCAGCTGTCCACACAGGTACGACTCACCTGTTGTGTCTACCCTTCTGTCCAGACTCACCTGCTGGGAATCAAAATGTGGAAATGGCTTCCATGTTGATATGATGTTCTTTTTAACTTTATGTTGATATTTTACTTTAAATGTTCCATGGATACTTTCCCACTCAGCTCCCATGTTCATACTTCCCTTAAATTTCCCCTCAATATTTTCTTTTAAACTTTCCAACCTGTCTCTCCGGCCAGGCCTGTACATTTCAGTTGGTCTGAGACTTTCTTTGAATTTTCCTCCCTCTCTGTCTGTTAAAGTTCCCGTCAGGACCTACACTGATGCTGATATATCTCATTTAATAAATCTCATGTTCATAGTTTCCTTTAATCTTTTTGTCAGAACTCACTTGGAAAAAATATTCCAGTTCCCATGTCCACGCCTTCTCTTAAGTTTCCCATCAGGCTCCTTTAAATTCAACTTTTTAGCTCTGTTGGTGATATTTTCCGTTTGTCCTCAACTGCTGCAACTTAAAATGTCAAAAATGTCCTCTGTGTGGACACTTGTTGCATCTCAGGTCAGACACCTCTGGATTTATACATGCTTGTTTGAGTGTGGCAGACACTTCTCCCCCTCAGTGGTCGCCATGTTGCCTGTGTAACAGAAGGGGCGGGGCCACAAACACATTTCAAGCTGAAGCATTGAACAAATTACATTTTATGTTTATTTTCATTTCCACCATACTGCTAACATATTTCGCTGGTGTTAGCATGAAGTTACATGTAGCAGTGTGTGTATGTAATGTTTCCCTGATGTTAGCATGTAGCTACATGTAGATAACATGTTTCGCTGGTGTTAGCATGAAGCTACAACATGTAGCAGTGTATGTAATGTAATGTTTCCCTGATGTTAGCATGTAGCTACATATAGCAGCATATGTTATATCATTTTATGCTGACATTAGCATGTAGCTACATGTAGCATCATATGTAATGTAATGTTTTCCTGATGTTAGCATGTAGCTACATGTAGATGACATGTTTCCCTGGCGTTAGCATGTAGCTATATGTAGCAGTGTGTGTGGCGTAAACAGTTGCAGTAGTAGCCTTTAGCAGATGACCATATGTAGACGTCAGCTTGTTTTGTTGGAAACAAAGTATTCAGAATGGCCTGAAGCCTCCTGAGGTGTTCACTCATGAGGATTACTCTTACACACAATATTTGACATGAACACCCAACACAGGAGCATTATAGAAAATAAGGAAAAACATCCCAGGTCCCCTCTTTCTTTATATTTTCCCAACAGGACTCACCTGGTGGGAGTTAGAATATCTGCTCCTGTGAGACGCTCTATAAATACCAGACTCCTGTGTGCGCACGTTATTTAGAGGTTTTTCTCTGACACTTTCACATGCTGCCCCGTAAACCCTTTGCCTCTGTGTGGATGCTTTTCTTTAACTTTGCCGCTGATAATTAAATCTTTAGTCAGACAGTTTAGGTTCAGGTCAGCTGACAGTTTTTTCATGTCAAGTGTTGGATAAAAATAGTGCAGTTTGTCTGTGAACGGTTTTCCAGGAATCACTGATCCGTTCCAGGCAGACGGCCAAATATAGAGAAAGAAACATGCAGGTCACTGGACCACTTTGACACCGGCTCTTATTTTAAATTTAAATCCATTTATGAGGAACTTACTGGAATTAAATCATCTTCAGTGTTCAAGGTTTCAATCGACGTCATGTTCCAGTCAGACTGAGCTCTGAATCTGAGGTTTCTGTTTTTGAGATACCACAGAGGAGAAATATTCTGTTGCAGGAAAAAGTATTGCATCGAAAATCTCAAGTAAAAATATAGAAGCATCAAAATATATACTCAGAGTTCCCAAATTAAAAGTACTCATAATGCAAAATAATAAATATGATATTATATTACTGTATTATAATTATTGATGCATGAATGTGTTGATCAGTTGAATGTTGCAGCTGGTAAAGGTGGAGTGTATTTTAATGACTTTACAAACTGCTGGGTGGTTTCTATTTATTTATTTATTATTGATTATATTTTGTATCAATAATCTGAATGTAACTAAATATAGTGCAGTAAAAAGATCAATATTTACCTCTGAAAGAGAAGTTGAAGTTTAAAGTAGCAGTGTAGACGCACAGCAGGCGCGCTCAAACACCAGAGCAACACCAGAGCGACACACGTGTTCCCGAGCGCCCATTTTTCAGGGTGTGACGGCTGAGATAAACAGAGTTCAACTTTTGGAAGGCAGCAGCGTGCTCCACATGTCATGTGACGAGGACCAACCAATCACAGCTGACAGATATCTTTCCTTCTTCAGTAAATATCAGTCTGTGATAAATATGGAGGAGAAGGTGATCATGTTGCTGTCAGAGTGTCACATCTGCCCCACAGGCGATAGGCCAACACACTTATAAACAGCTCCTGGAAGAAGATCAGCTCTGCACTCAACAACAACCTGTGATGTGTTTTGTCTCCACAGGCAAAAATCTACTTCTCTTTTCCTGGAGAGCTGCTGATGAGGATGCTGAAGATGCTTATCCTTCCTCTCATCACGTCCAGGTGTGTCCATGTTTTATGTCCATCACACATTAAAATATTTAAATAGCTACGAAACATCAGGAAGAGAAATGATATGAGCAAAGACAGAAATTTACTTTGGACAGTTTCTGAGATTTAAAGTTTCACCACAGAATCACAATCAGGAATCAGGTCACGTTGCACTTCTCGGACACACACAGAGACAACTGACAAGAAACCAGGAAAAAAAACAAAACATAAAAATATGTGCATCGTGCTACGATATATAACACAATGTGTAGATTCTTTTTATGATTGGAAACAGTGATGACGTGTTTTGTGGGTGGAGCTGAACTGGTGGAAGAAGTTGACAGTAGTGGTGTCGGTGTGAGTGCCAAATAATACGTAAAAAGCATTTATATTATTGAACCAAGCGTGATGACTCGTTTTTATATCCATGCATTTATGATCTATGTGTAGTAGAATTTTTTTTGTCTCCAGTCAGTTATAATCTGGATGTTCACTGCTGCTCAACGCTCTATGTGTGTGACTGACAGGATCTGAATTATTTAGATGGTAAAACATAAATCATCATGAGAACTGTAAAAACTCACATTTGTCAAACATGGATTTGTCTTATTGTCCAAAGTGCTGTCTTCCTGCAGCAGGTGGTGTTAATGCTCCGTATCTGAGGTGATGGAGAGCCTGTGATTTTTGACGCTATTTTCACCACCCTCATCAGCGGTTATGATCCTCTGCTCTGATGCTGCCAAACTCCACCAGTAAAGATGCTCCGCTGTGTGTTTTTGCCGTGTTTACTCAGACGCCTCAGAAAGTAAAGTCTCTGTCGTGCCTTTGTGACAACACGACTGGTGTTCAGAGACCAGCAGAGAGAGAGTCTGTGGTCAGGATGCCTCAGACCGTGAAGCCTATCGTATCTGCAGCGTACTTAAACGCAGGGTTTCCCCCAGAGAAGCTGTCAGGCTAGGTGGAAAGTATCTTTGGGCGGAGCCAGCAGACAAATGTCTCTTTTTATGGAGGCCAGTGACACTTTGTTTTGATTTTAATTTAGGCCTGTCAAATAACATGTCAAAAAATATGGATGCTGATTAATGGCGTTCTGTGGTGCCCTTTGACCCGGTGCGTCACTGAAGGCCACAGTGTCTTTGTCACATGATGGAGGCAGACGAGACGACGCTGCTCGGCCCCGTGAACGGAACAGTTACATTTAAAAAACGCCCAGATGGAGCTGTTGATAGGAGCAGCGTTCTCTGCAGGTTCTGCTCCAACCATCAGAGAACGTCAGTCTGAAATATCACCTCAACACAAACCTGGAGGTCTGAGCTAGCATAGCCTCTGATGCTAACGCTAGCAGCCAGCCTCGTCACGCCACTCTGGACCAGGTGTTCAGACTGAGTCAGTCTACCTGTGACCAACTCACTGACTCCCTTCAAACCAGTTTGGGTGGTCGAGGACAGGTGGACACCTGTGTCCAACATCCTGGAGGACAGGTGGACACCTGTGTCCAACATCCTGGAGGACAGGTGGACACCTGTGTCCAACATCCTGGAGGACAGGATTACACCTGTGTCCAACGTCCTGGAGGACAGGAAGACATCTGTGTCCAACATCCTGGAGGACAGGTGGACACCTGTGTCCAACGTCCTGGAGCTTCACTACAACACATCTGACAACATTCATTTGAACTGAAATAAAAATAAAATAAAATAAATAAGGCTAACAGGCTAACAGTTTCCTACTGCTTCCAGTCTTTGTGCTAAGCTAGGCTAAAGGACGTCTCTCTGTAGAGGACACTTGGAGATGAAACTGATTCAGGAGACAACAGAATAAATTTCACTAAATGCCCCTTTAAACCAACATCTGTCTGTCTGTCTGTCTGTCTGTCTGTCTGTGTGTCTGTGCAGTTTAATGTCAGGTCTGTCGTCGATGGAGTCGAAGGCCTGCTGTCGGATGGGCGTCCTCACCGTCACCTACTACCTGTGGACCACTTTCATCGCCGTGGTGGTCGGCATCGTGCTCGTCATCATCATCAAACCCGGCGTGGGGACGGAGATGGAGAGTAACCGTCTGGGAGGGGGGCCCGTCATGACCTCGGCCGACGCCCTGCTAGACCTCATCAGGTGAGTTGGAGGGGCACAGGTGAAGACAGGTGTCTGTCTGTGTGTTAGTCTGTCTGCCCTTCCGTCCGTCTGAGAGACAGACAAAATAAACTAAAACCATCAAACACTGAAAATATATGTGATGAAAGACACAGTCAGCCGACTTTTATCTTTTGTCCGTTAAACAAAGAGAAACGGTGAAATATGAGGAGCAGCAGCTTTAAACAGGTGAAATCAAAGATTTATAAAACAGGACTGAAACCTGCACGACGAGTAGAAACTAACACCTCTGACAGACTGAGAGATTTTATCAGTCCTGTAAGTTTAGTGCAGCTACACTGTGCCACGTGGATCTGATAAACTTTGGTACGACATCATGTGTGACGTCTGCAGACTGTACGATGACAGAGGTGGATGCTGCACGGGTTATTACGTCTCTGCTCACATTGATAAAATCATTTTTATCATGATAAAATTTATGAAATGTCAGAAAAAATATTAAGATATCAGAAATATATTATTAAATTGTCTGATTTTTTTTTTAAAATATCCTAAAAAAGGTTGATAAAAAGTAAAAAAAAATGTTGATAAAATGTCAAAAATAGTTATTAGAATGTCCAAAAATACGTCATTTAAATGTCTGAAAAATATTATAGAATGTCCTAAAAAATGTAAAAACAAACAAAAAAAATGTCAGAAAAAATGTTGATTAAAATGTCTGAAAAGTTTTTTAAAATGTCCTAAAAAATGTTGATTAAATTTATGAAAAATATTATTAAAATGTCAAAAACATATTAATAAAATGTCAGAATTATTATTAAATTGTCCAAAAAAATGTGACTGCTGTTGCTAATCTTTTTGAAATTGGACTGTTTTTGCAAAGAAGGGGTCAATTTTTGCCAGATGTTTGCATATGACCTCATTTAAATACGTGCAAATAGCACAGGAGCGCTGGGACGCTGTTTGCTGAGCAGCACAGTTTGGGGTCCACTTTACTGTCTGTGGGTGCACGAGAGAATTACACGCTTTGTTTTTGTCTGATCTTTTGTGAATTCACCCCTCAGTGTCCAACAGGCCGCTGCCACTCAGCTGAACAACGCTTAGATCAACAAATTGTAGAAAACGCACACGCACACGCACACACACACACACACACACACACACACACACACACACACATCAATCCAATTACAGACGGGGCTGATCAGTATATTTTTAGTAATCCTGCGGGGATGAGTGACAGATTAGCCGAGTCAGCGGCAGTGCGATGACATGATCTCTGCTGCGGCACGTTGGCAGACCGTGCTCTTCATCATCCTGTTGACCTCTGACCTCCTGGTGAAGGTCAGGTGATCTTAATAAACCCTATTCCCTCTGATTCATCCGTGTTTACCTTCCTGCCGTCCGGCATCACATCAGAGTCTCACACCTGTCGCTGCTCCACTAAAAAATACTTTATTATTGATCCTGTGTGGTGGAGGTGTGACAGTCTGCTGCTCTCTAACCTGTCATATATTCCTCGTACGTGTCTGTAAACACATGCAGGGCAATACCAACTGCTTCATGTTTAAATTAATCGCTTCTTTTATTCCACCACAGAAACATGGTTCCCTCGAATCTGATCGAGGCCACGTTCCAGCAGGTGAGAAAACCTCCAGGACTCGTTCAGGTAACGCAAAGTTTATCACGTCTTTAACTCCTGTAACTAACCCGACTGTGTTCCTTCAGTACAAAACGGACCTGATTCCCATCCTCAAAGTCCCGACCAGAACCATCCAGCCCAACTTCGTCTATGTCTTCCCTGACGACAGTCACCCTAAGGGGCGGACGGTGTACCTGGAGCTGACCCCGCCTCCGGAGATCACCTACAAGACCAGTCCCGGCAGCAGCCAGCAGATGAACGTCCTGGGCATCGTCATCTTCTCCGCCACCATGGGTGAGCAGGACGCAACCAACAAGTCACTGATACAGAAAACTCTGTCATTAAGAAGTTTAGGGACCGTGTTCACCAAAGTGTTTTTCTCTGGGGTCAGCATATCTTTTTTTAATTACACTGGGCGCCTCCTGCTGGAGGTGTTCTGGGCACTGGATAAGCGGATGAAGATGGATGGATGGATGGATGGATGGATGGATGGATGGATGGATGGATGGATGGACTGTGCATGTGTTTTGCTTCTGTGACAGCAACATCTTGACATTAATGTTAGCCAGGTAGCTAACGTAACACTACGCTAACAGAGGGTTGACTGCACAGTGAACAACAAGCGTGTCCGGACGATCTGCTCGCACAAATGTGTTTTTCTTTTCTGTCTTTGTTGTGACAGTCAGAAGGTAGCATGGCTAAAGGAGCGGCAGTGATGTCACCAGCTCCTTTTTGAAAAGAGACTTTCAACAGGAAGTGCTCGGAGCAGCTGCACAAAAAAGCACATGCGCTCTGAATGAAGACACTGCGCTTTTTCACCAGGTGGCTGCAGGTAGCTGTGTACGCTCCCTCCTTATCGGCAACAATTGAAAAAAAAAAAAGACCCACCTGCCGGTCCCAGGTGTGTCGGTCAGCTCCAGCAGCACCACAGAGAGAGTTATGTATAAGAACAGGACTGTGTGTCGGCGTCGCTCTGCAACTGTAGGAGATGTGAGTGGAAACACTTCCAACATATACTGACATCAAGAAGATGTGCAGATCATCAGGACGAGGAAAAAACAACCCGGAGGTCAGCTCCTGATCCCCGCTGCTTTCAGGAAGCCTCAGGACGCAGAGGCAGGACGGGATAGGGTGTAGACGTTATATTAATGGAAACACACTGAACATGATAACGCACACGATCACTGCCACCCTCTCATAACGTAGAGTGTAATGACACGACAACACACAACGACCTTCGGGGCACGGAGCGGTGTGCGTCAGTGTGGGTGAATGAAACATGAAAACAAACAGTTTATTTCAGGTGGTAACGCGTTATGTGACACTAAATGTGATAACACCCGAAATCCTGTTGGTAATATGTGATATTACATAGTTACTGCTAAAATGTAATATATTACTGTAACACATTACCCCAGCACTGATCATTATTGACCCACAGCGGAGCAGCTGGGCTCTGAATATTGAGTCAGTCCAGGTTCAAACTGTGATTTAAGTTCATTTGATATTCCAGCCGGTCCAACCCGAAACACTGACCTTCTGTTTCTGTTGTGAAGTTTGAAGAAGAGCTTTGCTAAAGTTACCTCCAGCTTGTTAGACACATCTTTGGAACCTGTTCTCATTTAAATCTGCACAGTTTGATGCAAAGCTTCTGCTGATTTCTTCTCAACTGTTGCTCAGAGGGATCTTTGTCTCTCAGTTGTCGGTCTGGTTGAACTGTCGCACAGCGTTTTGTTCTCCACGTACAAAACAAACTCTTCACTCCAAATAACATCTGTTTGTAAAGAAGCCTTTGTGCAGCCTGAAAGCATCAAAGATCGCTCAGACAAACAGAGGAGTCCTCTCACACATCAAACTTTGTAACAGTCAGAACTAATCCCTTGCCTCTCTGGTTTACACTCCTCACCCTGAACCTATAATGAAAACGTCTACACTGTGTTGTTGTTGCAGGTCTGTTGCTGGGCAGGATGGGAGAACGAGGAGCTCCACTCATCAACGTCTGTCAGTGTATCAACGAGTGCGTCATGAAGATCATCAACGCTGCTGTCTGGTGAGAAGAATACTCTGAAAGTACACACAGTACACACTGCTGAGGAAACACACGTCCTCTTAAAGTATTTCACTGCTGCAGAGATGGTTCATAAACCGGTCTGTCTCTGCAGCAGGGGAACACAAATACTTTTAAAATCTGTGCTACAGAATCAGAGAAAACAAAGAAAGAGCTGCGGCATTTTCATTTGCTCAAGACGCAGAAATCCTACACCTACCAGAATGCATTGCATCGGAACGAAAAGGCTACCTCTGGTGGGTAACGTAGTGCTAGTTGCACATCCAAAAACAATATGGCAGCCAGCTGGTGACAAACAATCTCATATTACAGTTGAACAGTGAGTTAAAATTTCTGAAACGGGTCAGTCAGAGGATTTTCTTTTTGATGAATCAGGAGATCTGGGCGCTGATGGAGGGAAGTTTACCACGGTTCATTAACACATACAACCCACACTGTTACGATACAGAGCTGGTTGAAAATCTGCGAAATATCCCTTTAGCAGCTGATATTCTGACATAGGGCTGGGTTATATAACGACTGTAACATATATCAATATATTTTCAAGTAAGATATAAATTTAGACTCTGTTTATATCAATATTGGGTCAAGTTGTGTTACACCACGTGTTCATCTCTCCTCTGTCACACTCTCCGCACAGCTCCGCCCCCTCACTCACTCACAAGTTCTCCAGCAACATTTAAACACAACACGTCACAGTGACACAGACCTCCTGTGTGTCTCTAAGCTGACACCATTTCCCTCAGTGGAAACAAAGCTTTGATTTACTTTAATTTCACAGATAAGAAACAATAAATTGTGAAGACAATAAAGCCTCCACACACTGTGTGTGATTTATCCTGGCTGAAATATGAGCAGAGGAAATCTCTGCTAGCTGCTAGGCTCATTTATACAATGTAAAATGCCATAGGCTTGTGCTAATAACGTTAGCATGTTGTATTTGTGGGGAAAATGTGTCCAGATAAAGACAAGTGTTTGTCTGTGAATGCTGCGAGTTATAGTGAAGCTGATTTGTATTTGACACTGTCTCTATTAAGCCATGTTTAATGTGTGTTTAATGTGTGTTTACTGTGTGTTTTGAATCAAGTAAACTTCACAGATCCCTGCAGCCGACTAGTGTTTTGGAGGTGTAACTGTTGTGCAGCTGCATTTTTTCAAAGAGCGGGCTAACATCTCTGTCTTTGCGTTTTATTTTAATCACTGCTTGTGACATCTCAAATGTGGCTTTGACTTGCAGCTGAAAACTTGTAGCCCGTTTTGTAGAAAATACCGAAATATATATTGTGTATGGCCAGTTGGCCTGTGAACACAGAGATATGATTTTTTTGTCCGTATCGCCCAGCCCTATTCTGACATATGACAGCAGGAAAATCACAGGCGTAAATATTAAAAGTTTCAGTTCTCAACTCAGTGGCAGTTCCACAGTTTGGGGGCAGACACTGCAAAGGCACGATCCCCCCTGAGCTTGAATCTGCAGCGTGGGAAGCCAGGAGCCCCAGGTCAGCTGACCTGAGGGACCTGGGGGGAGACTAGGGGGTCATGAGGTCTGCGATGTAGGACGGGGTCAGAACATTAAACAGAACCTTCAGATCTATCCTGAACTTCACAGGTACCCAGAGGAGAGACGCTAACACAGGTGTGACATGGTCTCTCCTCTGGGTACCTGTGAGGAGCCTGGCAGCAGCAGCAGCGTTGTGAACCAGCTGGAGGGACTGAGAGGACTGACTGATACCAATGTACAGAGAGTTACAGTAGTCTAAACGGGAGGAGATGAGGACGTGGGTGACTGTCTGCAGGTCTCTGAGGGAGAGAAATGGCTTGATTTTGTAAATGGTGCGGAGTTGGAAAAAGCTGGGTTTTACTATTGCATTTATTTGTTTGTCAAACGTAAAGGCGGAGTCAAATATCGCGCCAAGAGTTTTGATATCTTTAACAGAGCTGGAAAGGTCGCTGAGCTGGTTGGAAATCCCTCTGACATCCGTCCGTCCGCCCATCTGGAGTCATAAGAAGCCAGTCAGTGTTTTCAAACCTGCGTCATTTAATTATTTACCTGAATACAAGTTTGAGCTCAACAGGCTCCTGTAGCCAGGTTGCATGCTGGGATCAAGGAGGTTATAAAGAGGAGTTGGGGTGTTGGGGTACAACACGTGCAGTGAACTCTTGGGTTCATAGTGTGTGTTAGTGGATTATTTATTTCATGGACTTCTGTGACTCACACTATCTCCTGAACACAGCTTGTATCTCCGTGTTTGTGTCGGTAGTATTAAACTGCAGCGTGGTGTTTTTGGTTTGTTAGTCAGTATCTGTGGTGTAACGGTCTGACAGCGAGGAGGATCTGACCTGATGACCTGTCAGGTGGTGAAAACGTGCTGGCTGTGACGTCATCCTGCTGCAGCACCTGAGCAGATTAAAAACAGCACAACACAAAGCCTGATGACCCGAACACTCAACACGTACACTTCTTCCATCTCTTGTTACAGCAACAAAGACGAGTGCAGGACAATCTTCTTTCCTCAGGACTTGTTTATGCTTTCTGCTCCAAACTGTGTTTATAAAAAGGGATTTAGTGTAATCTGCACCCTCGGCTGTGCATATGATCCAAAATGAGTTGAAACTCAACAAGTTAGTCTCGCTAATAATTACTTTTGAAGCCAAACTGAAAGAAGTGGAGGTCAGATACCTGCTAACTGTTTTTTTTTCCTTATGAACTGTTGTTTGTGTTTTGTATTGTTTACATGGCCGACAGGTAAAGATGGGTCACCTTGGTTCCTCTTGTGTTGGGAGACCTACTCTGACACAGGAGCTTAAAGAGTTCCTCAAAACGGCGTTCTAAGAACTGCTACCGTTATTCGTCCTTGCGGCGCGGACACAACAAAAAGGAAAAATGTCCTGTGGTCTGAAAACACATATTATCTGCTCGCATACTGACCCGATTTCTGTTTAAGCTGCTGACGACTGACAGACTGCACCATCACCACGAAACAGTTTTGTGAAATTTACACGACGTATTCCAGCTCCCGAGAGGACGAACTCTTTAGATCCTAGTGACTCAAACTTTATGTTTGACTGTGCCTCAGTGGTGGCACAGTGGTGCAGTGGTTAGCATTGTCGCCTCACAGCAAAAGTTCCTGGTTTGAACCCAGGGTGGGGGAGCCCCTCTGTGAGGAGTTTGCATGTTCTCCCCGTGTCAGCGTGGGATTCCTCCAGGTGCTCCAGCTTCCTCCCACAGTCCAAAGACATGCAGGTTAATTGGTGACTCTAAATTGTCCGTAGGTGTGAATGTGAGTGTGAATGGTTGTCTGTCTCTATGTGTCAGCCCTGTGATAGTCTGGTGACCTGTCCAGGGTGAACCCTACCTCTCACCCAGTGTCCAACTCAGCCCAATTTACTGATGCACCACCCGTCCACGCTGACTAGAACTTGCATACATGAGCTGAGACCTGACGTGAGATTTAACCGTCACCTCCGCCACATGGACGAATGCTGAGCTCTGATTTCTTCATATTTGGCACAAACGTTCACTAGGACTGAAGAATAAACTGCTTGGAATTTTAGCAGTTGAAGGTCAATATGTTTTTGGCCATAACTCAAGAATTCTGACCAAACTCAACACAATTGTCTAACAGGATAAAATAATGAAGGTCAAAAGGTCAAAGGTCAGCTTGACTGTGACATCATCATGTTTTAACGTCATATCTCAGGAACAGAAGGGGAGACATTTGGTCAGATACTGAATTGGTGACTCTAATCTTGAAACTGTGCTGATTGTATAGATCTTCTGTGTGTGAAGCATCCATGTTTTCACTGACATGGATGGAGACTGTCAGAGACACTGGACTGGTGGGCGGAGTCATACAACCACAGGATGGACTGGTGGGCGGAGTCATACAACCACAGGGTGGTGATTCAATTTGTAAAATAATCATCAGGATGTTGTTTGTGGTGTCGTCTCAGGTACTTTCCGTTCGGGATCATCTTCCTGGTGGCGGGGAAGATCCTGGACATGCAGGACCCGAGCACGCTGGGGAAGAAGCTGGGCTGGTACGGCATCACTGTGCTGTCCGGCCTCTTCGTCCACGGACTCATCCTCCTCCCTCTCTTCTTCTTCCTGCTCACCAGGAAGAACCCTTTCTCCTTCATCCGCGGGCTGCTGCAGGCCATGGTGATCGCCCTGGCCACCTCCTCCAGGTCAGAGTCCAGGACGGTTCTACTTTAACCTGTGGATGTGTTCAGGTTTTTGTTCAAGTTTTATTTGTCTTGTCTCAGCTCTGCCACGCTGCCCATCACCATGAAGTGTTTGCTGGAAAACTGCAATGTTGACCGACAGATCGCCCGCTTCGTCCTCCCCGTGGGCGCCACCATCAACATGGACGGCACGGCGCTGTACGAAGCCGTGGCGGCCATCTTCATCGCTCAGGTTAATGACTATGAGCTGGACTTCGGCCAGTTGGTCACCATCAGGTAAACCAGCACAGATGTGCTCAAACTCTGAGACGGTTCATGAGTTTTTGGAAACCTGTCGAGATTACAAAGGGAAGAAGAACAGAATTAAGAAACTGTCTAAAATGTATTGTTTCAGATGGAGAAAGACTTTTCCAAAAGGCAGGACACAACATGTGAATGTATATAATCAGTTATCTGCTGTTTAAACTCTCAGTTAGTCTGCAGCAATCTGAAAGTCCAGCCTCACTCACTGCAACAACTACAACACTAAGCTGACAACTTAGGCCCCGATCACACAGAAAGTGTTTTAGCAGCTCTCACCCTCAACCAGAGCTACAGACAGCACCCTCTGCCTCAACATGTCAGCGGCTACACACTGATCACTGCAGGATGCATACAATAAATTAACAGTAGACACAGGAAGGTTAGAATGAAGAGGTGAGTTTGTGGTTGCCTGGCAACAATAAAAATGCACAGCAAGTGTTTTTTTCACTAGTAGCATTCAATTAAAAAAAAAAAAGCAGTCCAGCGTGTCTCGTGTTTTACAACCTGGAAAACACTCTCTGAGTGACCAGGGCCTTACACGGTGAAAACACCGTCATGTCTGCTTTGTTGTTTCAGTGAATTGTTGTAAAGATCTACAACTTGTGAACGCAGTTCAGAGAAGCCCAGACTGCGTCTCTCAGGACTCTCCTGATGTTAATCAGTTTTCCGACAGTGGGAGTTGATCTGTCACATCTTTAAACTGACAGCAGCAGCAGCAGCTCCAGTGACTCTGACTTCACTAACTGTTCCCCTTCACACCAGCTTCTGTCATATCGTCTAATAATGTTCTGATAGAGTCACATACAGCCAGCAGATCATCTGAGGTTTTAACTGAGCTCCTCCAGAGCTAAAGTGAAGTCAGGCTCCGCCTCCAGAGCTCTGATTATCACATGATGTGTGTGTGTTTCATCATCACACAGAGACAGATCACTGTTCATGTTTCTGTGGGGTTTTCTTTTGTGGAGTCGTTTTAATGACAGCACTCACCTCCATATGTGCAAATGTTTCACCAAGACAAGTTCACCCCCAACACCGTTTAACAAGACACCGTCACTGCATCCTGAGCTTAGCTCCGCCCAGGATGACTATGATTGGTTAAAAGAAATACAAACAAGCCAGAGCATTTTCCCCTGTAGTAGAAAGATAATCAGTGACTCCAGACCTGTCTGTAGTGCTGACACAGAGCTGTGGTCTGACACATTGTGTCGTTCCCATTCAAAGATGTGCTCTTGTTTAGACAGTGTTTCCTACGACAGTGTTAAAAGGGTGAATTTACTAAAAATGCACATTAAAGAATTCAATAATTCTTGTTTGTACTGTTGATTCTAAACCTTCAGGATCAGACTTGTATTTTCAGACTGGTTTCAGGGTCGGGTCAGGTTTATTTTACCTGAGTCAGCAGTCAGACATCAGACCTACCTTTAGCTCCAGACGCTCCGTCTACGTTTTGATTAAATGAATCTTCGACAGGATAAACTTTACTTTTTCTTCTTGCAGCATCACGGCTACAGCTGCCAGCATCGGTGCAGCGGGGATCCCTCAAGCCGGTCTGGTTACCATGGTGATCGTACTGACATCAGTGGGCCTGCCGCCAGATGACATCACACTCATTGTGGCCATCGACTGGATCCTGTAAGTTTACAGTGCTCGTTAATCTTTCTGAATGTTATGGTATTATAGGATCACAGATCTTCACACCGCTGTGGTCCAACTGAAAACAATGGGTCACATTTATTTGGCAGTTTTGTATTTTCAGTCTGAATCTGTAAAGTACCTACATCTGTACAGTGGCATAAAACTCATATATATAAAAGTACAAGTACCTTAAAATGTTAGTTCAGTATGATACTTGATTGCAGCCACAACACGATGTGAACAGAGTGTAAGGTACTTCAGAGTAGTTTTGGTGTCATGATGTCTCCTCGTCCCATCTGTTTCTGCAGCGACCGGTTTCGGACCATGATCAACGTCCTGGGTGATGCTCTGGCAGCAGGAATCATCGCCCACCTTTGTCGGAAAGATTTCCCTCTCAGTGAAACAGGAAAGGTAAAAAACATTGTCTGTAATTAAACATTGTCTGTAATAGTAAAATGCCACATCGAGCTAGTAAATCTAGCAACTCACTTGCATCGGGCAAGTGATAAAAAAAGAATTCACACACTGGGTCTCAGTAATGAGGTGTCAGTAAATGTGCGCGTAGATCTGCACATAAAAAATCTTGGTTTCATAGATTTATGAATGCCGCAGGAAACTTGTAGTCACGTGTGTTTGTTCATGAATGTCAATCAATCATAAACTGACAGCGCTCCCACTGGTCAGTAATTATCATACAGCCCCGCCCATAACTATCCAGTGACCACCATATATGGAGGTGATCATTACTGTGGACAGGTGCATCCTGTCGACCTGCGAACACATGGAGCGCTGTGACTATTTCTTTTTAATAATTTAATATTTCAGTTCTTATATTTGGCCCAAGGCATCATTTCTCAGTTTAAAGTGTATTGTTTGCCCGACAGCTGCATCTGAGTCGAGCTCTGCCCCTCCCTCTTCAGCTTCCCTTACGGCAGCCACATGTACATCAAGCGCCCTGCAGAGCAGCATCACGTCTCCCACATCTGCCGCCATGAACAGACATGTAACCATGGTGTTTGCCCTGAGCCTCAGTTCTCTTTGTCTCTGCTGTGAAATGAAACCACTATTAAGACATCTTAATACAGGCAGTCTGATGTCAGCAGTGACCCAGCGTTAAGTTTAGCAACATGTAACATAATCGCACGTCTCCCTCCGACTCTCTGACAGGTTCAGGTTCACCAGCTGCCCGCTGTGAGCCGAGACAGACACAGAATTGTTCTCCCACGTCCACAGGTCTTATTAAACCAAAACTTAATTTGAAATAATGTTTACGTCTCCCACGTCGCAACTCTCATAATTAGATTAAACATAAATGAGGTGCAGTTTGGGGCTGTGATGTGTACACAGCGCAGAGGAGGAGAGTGTTGGTTTATTTTATTCATTCAGGGAACAGCATTTTCCAGTTTTGTATTAAGAAATCTAATCTGAAGCTTAAATCTGCTAATTGCCAAGTAATATATCTAAACGTGTTTATTTCTAATGTTTTGTCATGTTTAACTGACGTGTTTCAAAGCTGTCAGCGTATTGTGAACATAACAAAGCACAAGACATACTAACATTGTGATTTCTAATAATGTCAACCAATATGTATGTGCAGTATAATATTCACACAGGCACTGTGAGCAGTCAGCTTAGCACAGCTGATTGGCAAAGTGGTTGTTTACATGAGAGCACAGCTGATAGGTACAGTGGTTGTTCACATGAGAGCACAGCTGATTGGCAAAGTGGTTGTTTACATGAGAACACAGCTGATAGGTACAGTGGTTGTTTACATGAGAGCACAGCTGATAGGTACAGTGGTTGTTCACATGAGAGCACAGCTGATAGGTACAGTGGTTGTTAACATGAGAGCACAGCTGATAGGTACAGTGGTTGTTTACATGAGAGCACAGCTGATAGGTACAGTGGTTGTTAACATGAGAGCACAGCTGATAGGTACAGTGGTTGTTAACATGAGAGCACAGCTGATAGGTACAGTGGTTGTTTACATGAGAGCACAGCTGATAGGTACAGTGGTTGTTTACATGAGAGCACAGCTGATAGGTACAGTGGTTGTTAACATGAGAGCACAGCTGATAGGTACAGTGGTTGTTAACATGAGAGCACAGCTGATAGGTACAGTGGTTGTTAACATGAGAGCACAGCTGATAGGTACAGTGGTTGTTTACATGAGAGCACAGCTGATAGGTACAGTGGTTGTTTACATGAGAGCACAGCTGATAGGTACAGTGGTTGTTAACATGAGAGCACAGCTGATAGGTACAGTGGTTGTTAACATGAGAGCACAGCTGATAGGTACAGTGGTTGTTAACATGAGAACACAGCTGATAGGTACAGTGGTTGTTTACATGAGAGCACAGCTGATAGGTACAGTGGTTGTTTACATGAGAGCACAGCTGATAGGTACAGTGGTTGTTTACATGAGAGCACAGCTGATAGGTACAGTGGTTGTTTACATGAGAGCACAGCTGATAGGTACAGTGGTTGTTTACATGAGAGCACAGCTGATAGGTACAGTGGTTGTTTACATGAGAGCACAGCTGATAGGTACAGTGGTTGTTTACATGAGAGCACAGCTGATAGGTACAGTGGTTGTTTACATGAGAGCACAGCTGATAGGTACAGTGGTTGTTTACATGAGAGCACAGCTGATAGGTACAGTGGTTGTTAACATGAGAGCACAGCTGATAGGTACAGTGGTTGTTTACATGAGAGCACAGCTGATAGGTACAGTGGTTTGTTTACATGAGAGCACAGCTGATAGGTACAGTGGTTTGGTTACATGAGAGCACAGCTGATTGGCAAAGTGGTTGTTTACATGAGAGCACAGCTGATAGGTACAGTGGTTGTTAACATGAGAGCACAAAAGTACATGTTTAACGGATTGAGTGTGGACGAACTGGCGCGTGCAGTTAGGACACAGTTTAAGGACTCCATATCTGCAGAGAGAAATATTTATAGCAGACATCATGACGGGAGAGATTTAAATCTGACTTTAACAGTTTGCTGGTCAATAGTAAAACATATGCCTTTTAAGCATGTCTGTAGGTGCAGTATGTACATCGCTGTAAGATGTGCAAGATAGATGTAATAGTAAATTGTAAGTTTAAAATGTTCTCGTCAGAAACTGAACTCTATAGAGGAAAGTTACATAGACTATAAAAAATGGATTAAAAATGAGGAAACATTTTGTTTTGTTCTTCCTGTTTTGGCACAAAAGTGGAGATCTTAAACCAAATGTTACTCTGCTGTATGTTTCTCCATCACACCTGTGAGCTGTTACTTCATTCACGTCTGTTGTGTTGGATTAGATTACAGCAGAGTTTACTCTGTTTGGAACGACAGCCACAACAGATTAAAGCTCTGAATCCTTTTGAGTCTTTGTCAAGCCCCGCCCCCTCTGCTGTTCTCTGTTGCTGGGCAGAGAAGTCCATTAATAACCAGCTGAGAATTAACTAAATCACTTGTTATACTGTTGTGCACTAACAGCCCAGTCACCAGAAGGAAATGTTGGCACCGTACATTCCTGCAAACCTCAGATATCTTACACGTGTGTTTCAAACATGTCATATCAATGTTTCTGATGTGATGTAGTATGTGAGCTGACTTTGTCATTATCAGGTTTTTAACAGGTCATCGCTGTGTTTCCAGCAGCTTTTTAGTCAGCGTTTCTTAGCATCCTGTCACTGTTTTTCCAGCCGGAAAACTTGACAAGTTTGCGACCCACTTTTGGACTGTGACCCACCAGTTGGGAACCACTGTAATGCTGCTGCAGGTTGTTCTCATAAACTGTTCGTACATTTTCCTATGAAAGGTAACGCACCCAAATTAGTGCACATCCCCCGTTTTTTGAAAGGCTGCGGTCACGTGACCCATGCACTGACGTGAGTAAACAAGGAAGCAGTGCAAGTGGTCTTGTAAGGAGGCACGTTGGGGCGGTGGACGGGTACACACAAACCAGAGTTTTCAAAAATCCCACTTTTAGTGATGTAAAACAGACGAGAGGCCGAAAGGTAGAGGAAATTATTCGCTCAAACTGACCTCCGTACAGGACGACCTTCAGCTCACTGGTAGAGTGTGCGCCCTGTATATGCTGTGCCTTTGCAGCGGTCGGAGTTTGAGGCAAAAACACACAAAAAAGAAAAACAAACTTTCCATAAAGAAAGAAAATCGTACAGGTGCAGCCAACACACAGTCATCAGCCTGTACCTGGATCATTTCACTGTGGGAATCTAACGTGTGTTTTTGTGTGTTTCCTCTGCAGACTGTTCCGTCCTACGGGACGCAGACTCCTCACGCTCACAACAACTCCCACAGCGTAGACGTGCCAATGACAGAGATCCACACGCACAAAGACTGCATGTTCGACGCCATGGGCAACTCAGCAGGCGAGAGGCACGCACACACCGTCTACTACAACATCTGCCAGGTGTGATTGGACTGCACGGAGCAGCTCACCACGAAACACCACCGAGTGCGGTAGAGTCCCCACGGTGCCATCTGAACAGGAAGAGGCGGACTTTGTGGTAACAGAGCGTGAATCTTCTTCTGAGCAGCAGCTGCTTTGACTCTAACTCAAGAACTGTGGTTTATTTGGCCAAAAGTGGATTTAGGCTTCATTTGGAGGTTTGTTGTCCTGCTCGCTGATGACAGAGACATTTACAGCTCCAGGGACAAAAGGACCATGACGCCATTTTAATGGAAACATGCTTCGCCATCAGCGCTAACTTGCAAGCTCGCCTGACTTCAGAAAGTGGGAAGGTTGCTAAATATCAAGCAGAGAAATCCGGCAGCATCTCTGGTTACTGTTGAGGAAGAGGATGAATATGGAGCCTGATCTGCACCAGAGGATTATGGGTACATCACGCCCCTCCTGGGAGCAGCTGCAGGTTCGTCATCTGGTCTGACAGCGCCACCACGAAGCTGTACACTTCCCATTCACCATGGCGGTTCCTATGGCTGGATACCAAACCTTAATACTTACTGACTCAAATGTGTCACAAACCGTCAGGTACCGAAAGCTGGTATCAAATGACGGGGCAGAGTCTCGACTCTTTTTTTGTTCAATGAAAAAAACCTTTTTCTTTTCATTGAACAAAGAGTGGAAGATGGAACGCTCCGGTCATGAGCTCTGGGGAGTGACCAACAGAATGACATCACAGATACAAGCAGCTAAAAACCTCCACAGGCTCGGATCATCTTACACGTGTTTCACACCAACTGCTCAAATTCTCAAAAGCACATCATTTACAAAATCATCCTCAGAATGAAGCGGAGAACAGAGCTGTAAAACGCAGCTCACTGTGGTGCTACAGACCACAGGAAGTTACGTTTTTGGGATCAGAGTTTGATTTGCTTCAACTGTGGCTGAAACCCGTGTTGGAAAATGAATGCACTGCTGCTGTCACAGGGAGCACAGCCGCTCTCTGTGTAACACTGAAACTGCTGTTTGGTGTGAAAGCCCTGTGAAGGATGTGGAGCAGGTTTCACCAGCTGGTTTTTACTAAGCCCAGTCGTAACTGCTGAGTGTTTGTTAAGACAAGTTTTAAGACTTCACGTTGACTGCACCAACTAAACCAAAGCCTGGTCTCAGCCTACACACGCTCTCAGCGATTTGCGTTCATGTGAGTGTCCACGCCTTTATGGCTAGTGGTTAGCCAAGCCCAACTCAGAGGAGACTCCAGGGACACACAGGCTTGTATATCTCATGAGATCTGGGCACGTCTTGGGATCTTTCAGGGGGGACTGTGAGACATCTGCACCACTGCGACCAAGACCAGTGTAAGCTGAGGAAAGAGGTTCGATCGATGGTTCTGGAGAAAAACTTTTTTTACATTTCTCAAAGTGATGGATAAAATGTAATGGTTTGATATCAGGATAGAAACTCCAATATCAGTGCTTGTACCAAAACTCTTGAGGTGATACCGAGCTCCAGCAGTGGGCTGTACTTCTGTACAAACCCTGAACAAAAGGTCCTGATGCTGTGTTATCAGCCCAGTTCACAACAAAGATTCATGACGAGACGAGTTGAAAATACTTGCGTTGCGCTGTTCTGCATCATTGTAAAAACCTGCCGGTTCACACCAAGTCACCAGATGAGATGGTGTATCATCTCTATGCAACACACAGCGAGCAGCAGCAGAGACCCACCATCCAACACTGGCACACCATGAGGACAGAAACAGAGGGCTGCACTGGGATGACTGGCTGTTGAAACAGGTGACGTGCTTTAAAACCAGCTGAGTGTCAGGTGACACCATCAGTCGAGCTCAGACACTTTTCTCTGCAACGATAGAAAACGTTTTCTTCTCATCGCCGATCTTTGATCTGAACTGGACTTCAGGTGTAGAGGTGATCAGTTCCTGGATAATCTAACAGAGCTTTTTACCTCCTGCTCACCATCTTTACTTTGACTATAAAGCCAGGAAGAATCCACCTCTGTGTTGGGACAGAGACCAGTGAAACCACACTGGATCACAGTGGGTGACAGTTAACGTGGCGGAGCTAAAAACAAAGCTCGGTTCTTTACAGAACGTTTTTTTTTTTTGTTCTTATTTTGGATCTTCGAAAGGGACAAACTTCTTCGTGCTGCTGTTTGTTCTAAACCTCGTCTCTGTCTTATGTTCACAACAGTTTTCACCACCTCAACAAACCTCTGACTGAACAAGGTCTCTGATTGGCCGGTGGTCAGACTAGTGAAAGGGTCAAAGGGTAATCCGACCAATCAGATGGCTGAATGAATCCAAGTGCTCTTCATTTTGCAGACTCTTCTTCTTCTGTGTGTTTATATTTGACAGCATGCTGGCATGCGTTCCGACTGGCTTCGTTTGAAGTCGACGTGCATTATTTTCTTCTCTCGTTGTTGTTTTGACTTGAACGTTTCAAAGTAAACAAAGTGCTGTAGGGATTATGGGAATCTTACCAAAGTCAGTTGCAGCTAACAGATGCTAGTTTGGGTTCAGTTAACTACTTAATTGTGTTTATTACCTCAAGTTATTTACAAATTGTTTACTGACAGATCAGGAGTCATAACTGATGATATGACAGAACGTTCAAGGTAACAAAGTGTTGACGGATTATTTATATGCAGCAGATTACAGTTGATTTTTCTTAAAAAGGTAAGAAATCAAACCTGATGGTTCAGAAGATGGTCGGGATAAATTAAAGTATAATGTTAACAGGATTTGTAGTTACGTGGCTAAAACATGGAAGATTCAGTCCTTTAAGCTCTCTTGTGAAATATGTTAAAATTTTCGGTGAAGTGCTCCTTGAACTTCTCTCTGTGGTGAAGTAGTGTTGTTGTTCACTAGTTAGTTCAGAGCTGAACATGAAAACGTAGACCTGCCTTAACTTGACTGTTTTAATCCACAAACCTCAGTGTTCATCTGCCAACGCACACCGACAACCTGCAGCGTTTTTTATATTCATGTGTTTTTGGACTTTGTGTAATTTGTGTTTGTTTGCATTTCAAAATAAACACACTGATGTTCTTCTCTCTTTCATACAGTCTTACTGACACGTTACTGTACATGTGGCGACTTTTGGGGCTCATTTATTCTCCCTGTATGCACGAAGAGACGCGTCCATTTCAAACGCAAGGTCTTAATATTGTACGTTTTATTAACGGAGGCAGCGTTGTAGACAGCATATTTACAAATATGTGACACTCCTGCAAACCCTCCCATACACACACATTCAGAGGGGCTTCCCGTCACTTAAGCTGCTTCTTCCTGTTGTTTAGATCATCAGTCCTGGGAACATTGGCTTCTCCTCACATACCCAGATTTGTTCTGAGTCATGTCAGGTCACCTGCACTACAGCAGAAGGCTTTTTTTGTAGTTGTTGAAATGTTTTATTACTATAATTTGAAACCATTTTTTTTAAAAATGCAAGTTTGTGTAAAAAATCTCCCTCCTGAAAATGACCAAGATAAAGATGAGATTCTCCGTCCAGTTGCAGTTTTTTCAATACCGTAGATAAGCAAAAGTATGCCGTATGATAACCGCCAATTTTCATACCTTGAAACCGGTATATCGCTGCAACCCTGATCTCCACATGTGCAGGGTCAGTTATTCTAACTTTATTATCGATTTGTTCTTTGTCTCTCACCATCGTTATCTTGCTTTAATTATACTTCACTGCCCCCACGATCTGCGGTGGTACTGCTGCGTTTTGTCCGTTTCCGTAAGCTTTCAGAAAACATGCACAGATACAGTCGAAATGAACGCAGAGAACGAACAGAAGGCTCTATCTATGTTCGTTTCTAACGTTGTGCATAAATGAGGCCTCACAGTTACTTGAATGTCTCTCAACACTAAAAACATCCAGGACGTGTTTAGCCTAGCTTAGCATAAATACTGGAGGAGCCGTTAGCCTATTATTGGATCGAGAGTGGATCTCTGTTCCATCTGAATGGATCACAAGTGACTCGCAAACGTGTCAAGCTTGTAAAAAAAAACAAAAAAAAAACACACTTTATTTTGAAGTACAGTGAATTTCAGTCACACAGCTATTTTGACCACGTGGCCCAAAATACTTTTTCCTGCAGACTTACATTTTGAGCGTCACAAATGATTAGTTTCACTTTCGAGATTTGATTCATTTGGTCCGATAACATTTCTGAAGTCTCAGCAGGCGACTGTTGAAGAAAGTATTTAAAGACGACTCGATGGAGGAGATTCACAGCTCAACATACAGAGTGATTTAACCTCGTATTTAACCCAAACAGTGTTGCCTTGTGAGTCACTGCACGTTCCCAGATAAGGTTATTCTGTACCGATCTATGGTTTGGTGAAGTTTCTATTGGTTCACCTGGCTCGCCCTGAATCACCTCGACTGTCTCTTGCCGAAGACACATATCTAAAAAGAGACTCTCGTTAGTTGAGCCTCGGGCGGGGGGCATCTCACTTCCTCTGAACCTTGGGAGCTATGGCCACAGAGCCAGCTAGGCGCCCTTTCCTGGGCAGCTGTGCTCCCTCTGCCACAGCTGGGAGACTAAAGATGGAGGGTGTTCATTACAAAGGTCAAGTAGCCCGACCTTTAGGCCTGTTTTAGGCCTTCTGCTGACCCGACTGTTACCTTACGCATAACTGTCACCTTTCCTTTACTGGCCGAGGCCAACGGCTGGAACACAACAGCGACCTCTAGCTCACCTGGACTTGTGTCCTTCACAGCGCCAGGCTTCAGTTCCAGCCCACGGCTCTTTGCTGTGTGTCGCAAGATTAAATCCTTTTTTCCTTATTTAAGTTAGTGAAACGCTAAACTGGAAGTTTGCCGCTCAGCCGACAGAAGTCTCTAGTGCGCCTGCTCCCCCACGCCATGTCCATATAACCACCGGCACTCCGTTGAAACTTTCTCTGTTTCCTCTCCAACAGATGAAGTAGATGCTTCTTGGATTTTCAAAAGATTAAACGGAGGGAAATATATATTTGATTTGTAACTTGGAAGTAATTGTTTTAATGATTTACGTCATTAGGTCGACTGTCTGAGTCCACGTTTCCTCCATCTGAAGAGAAAACCTTCCAACGGCTCTGATTTGCGTGTCTGTGTCAGACTGAGCACACAGACTTGAACAGAGAGCTGCAGAGGGAACACATGGAGGACGTCGTCACCAACATGCTGCTATATTTAACACACTCGCAGAACGCTGCACTCATTAATCCAATAAAGTGAGCGTGAGGCCGCACGGGACTGAATCCCTGCGACGACACGCAGCCACAGGTGCTTCAGCTGCTAATCTGCCACCACAGATTAAAGTCACTATGAAGACTTGATGAGTGCTGGAGGAACAACAGGGATTAACCAGGTTTACTGAGGGGTCCCCTAGCTTTGCATGCTGGGAGTTTCTCTCCTCAAGGACGTGTACAGAAAGCATGTGTCACTTTGACTTCAAAAGAAGATGCTCTAATAGATCATTTAGTTTCACAGTGAATGGATTAAAAAAGAGCTGCAGCTCTAAATGAGAGGATGAACACAGTAACAGAGCATGAAGTGATTTCATGGACAGAGCTGTAACACAGCCGGTTATCAGCAGCATCCATGAGGTCTGACTGTGGCTGTAATTAACACTGCAGCCTGTAGGGGTCACCAGCACAACACCAGACAGGTTCAAAACAGGAAGCGTCTTATTTTTCAGTTCTGGTGCCAACTGTCTTTCTTTATTAAAACCTTTATATTAATGAATGAGGAAAAAGGTGGCACCAGTGATAGGCGTGGCTGGAGGGGTTATGTTTCCAGGTTACCGTCCGTCCATCCTTATGAACATGATATCTCGAGAACACCTTGTGGGAATTTCTTCTGATTTGGCACAAACATTCACTTGGACTCGAGGATGAACTGATTATATTTCAGAAAATAAGAAATGATTGATTTAATTGAATTATTTTAATAGATCATTTATAGTTTTTATAGTTTATGTAGCATGAGCATATCATTTTGTTGCTACTGTACCAAAAAAGGAAGAAAACAAAAAGTATGACAGAGCTGAGTTTTCCTTTTTAAAGCATAAATAACAAAAGGCACCCACTGCACTGTCTGTATTTACGCCCCTGCACCGAGTTTGGAAGAGCAACTGAATAAATTAGAGATATAAAAAAGCAGTAATTACCAAAACACTTTCACAGGCCTCCATGCTGCTTTCTACTGTTACTAACCTGTTCTCAGTCTGTGACGGTGAGATATACATATTGTCTGCAGGCAGTGGGGAAGCACTCTGTTGCCTATTTTAAACAGTTTTTTCCCCACTTAAAAAAAAAAAAAAATAAGACTAGCATAGATTTTGATGGTAAAAGGCTCAAAGTGACTGATGGGAACAAAAGTTTTTGATAACCTCTCTGGACACGTTCACACTGTCAGCGTACGTCCACTAAGAGTCGGTTTTTGCCACTGACGGGTTCAGATTGTTTATCTAAGTGTCAAAATCCTTGTTTCCACCCAGCAGTTGAGTTTAGAATTGTTTCTGTCTCCACAGTAAAAGTTGTGAATGGTCCCAACAGAAGCGTTCCTTAGCGTCCCCATGTTTGGTCCCCCCTCTGTTGGGGTACCTAGCACACAGATCTGGTACTAAAAGGTGGAGCTAGAAACCCTGCAGTCTGATTGGTCAGTAGAGGACGCTCACTCTGGTTTTATGTAACCTCTGTTCATACATCAGTAAACTACAACTATAAAATGAAAGAGAAAAAATAACTTCATTCACTGGGCCGACTGCCGGCAACTTTTAAGGTGGAACGTTAACTTGTAATGTTACTCAATGCATGAGTTGATGACGTGAATCCATCAGCACACCTTAAATTTCACTGTGACAACTTTGACCATCACTTTAGTTTTTATATGACACACACTTTTAGTAATGACTTTAAAAATATAGATTAATTTGGAGCGGATTATGTGAAGGTCATATATTCTAATCCTCACTTCCTGTGGGCTACAGCAACACTAAACCCCTGAGCTTGCCTGAGAAGGACTAAATGCACAAAGCTGCTATTTTTAAATATCCCATGGAGAGAGACTCTCACTGCAGCCTGTTCTATTTTGTTGTGAAAATGTGGGCGTGCAGCCTCGTTCTGTGGACGATAAACCAGGTGCAGACTTCCATCTGTGTCACCGCTGATGAGGAAATACAGCGAGTGCTGGACGGAGCAGTGAGTGACAACAACCCCGCCCACATTTAAGAGGACTGTCTGAACACACCGAGGGTCTAGGTACCATGTCTGAAGAATTACTGCTGGTTCCAGAGGGACTGGACTGAAAGGGTTTGGTGGAGACGGGGCTTTAGTAACTGGCTGTGATGAGTTTTCACCAGGATTTATGAACATGTTCAGTAAAAATACACATTGTTAATACACACAACCCAACACCTGTTGTATTAGGACAACACTGCAAACATTACATTTTCATTAATCCACAAATAACAGCTTTTTATGAAAAATACATCTTCTCACATAACGATGACAAAACTAACTTTCTTTTAAACCATTTTCTTTAACCCTCCTGTCCTGGGTCAGTGTGACCCGCTGCGTGTTTTATCATCCAAAAATCATCTAAAATCCTAATAAATGTATAAAAAAAGAGACGAGACACCGCCACTGTTCAGGGTCAAATTAACCCGTTCACTTAAAATCAGACCTTTGAATCATGTTCTGTATTGAACTGAATGACTTGATGTCTTTGAGTCACTGTGATCCTGGTCGGCCCTGGCACCGTCTTTATGGTGTTTTCTGCACACAACAGCTTAACCGATATCGGTAATATCAATTTCCTCATCTGATTGTTGGTAATCAGAATCGTCATAATCAGAATTGACCTCTAGATGGTCTTCATCTCTTCATCTTCACACACATCCTCCTCTTTTTTACTGTTACGTTACATGGAGCCTCCATGGCTGTTGTCCAATGTGAAACGTACCCGTTTCATTTTAAATGTTGATCACACTAATTAAGAGCCAGCAGAAGAAGTTTCTTACTGAAACTAGAATTACCGTATTCATCTGTAAACCCGTCAGGTTGCAAAAACACGCATCCTTCACACACAGAAGATCTATACAGTCAGCACAGTTTCAAGATTAGAGTCACCAATTCAGTATCTGACCAAATGTCTCCCCTTCTGTTCCTGAGATATGACGTTAAAACATGATGATGTCACAGTCAAGCTGACCTTTGACCTTTTGGATGTAAAATGTCATCACTTCATTATTTGAGTTAAACAGTTGTGTGAAGTTTTGTCCTAACTAGCAAAGTAATTCCTGACGTTTGGCTAAAAATGTGTTATTTGAAGTCACAGTGACCTTGACCTTCGGCCACCAAATTCTAATCATGTCATTGTTGGGTCCAAGTGCCAAATTTGAAGAAATACGCTCAAGGTGTTCTTGAGATATCGCGTTTACAAGAATGAGACAGACGAGGGCACAGTGACCTTGAAATCTGACCTCTGACTAGCAAATTCTGATCACTTCATCGCTGACTCAAAGTGGATGTTTGTGCCAAATTTGAAAAAAAAAAAAAAAAAAAAATTCACTCAAGGCATTTTTGACATGTCATATTCATCAGAGGGTCATAGCGACCTTGAACTAAACAGTGAACTGATTCGAATTTGGCAGTCAAAGCGCATGTTCATGTCAAATTTGAAGAAATTTCCTCACAGTGTTCCTGATATTGCACTCTCAAGAATGAGACAGATGCAAGGTCACGATGACCTTGAACTTTGACCACCACAATCTAACTGGTTCATCTTTTAATGAAAGTGGACATTTGCGCCAAATTGAAGAAATTACCTCAAGGCATTCTTGACATATCACTTTCATGAAAATGAGAGGGGTGCAAGGTTATGTTGACCTTGACACTTGACCTTTGACCACCAAATTCTAATGACTTGAGCATTTAGTCCAAGTGGATGTTTTTGCCAAATTTGGGAAAAAATCCCTGAAAGCGCTCTTGAGATATTGCAATCACGAGGAGACATAAAAACACTTTTTTTACACATATTTTTCAGAGATTTTCAAACTTTAAAGAGTCAAACTGAGCTGCAACATAACAGGAGGGTTAATAAAAACATTTGATGTAACCCAAAGATGTTTTTACATGAGGTAGTAGTTCAACCGCCAAACTCTCCAAGTCCTGGAATAAGACATGGAACCTGCCGACCCGCTGTGACAGCCCGAGGCACGCTCTGAAAATACCAAAGTGTGAATTCACAGTGAGTGCAGCATGTCTTGTCTCGACCCATCTGATCAACAATCAGCCGTTTATTATTTGACCCAGAGTGAGAAGGAATCCGTCCCCTCCATCAGCTTCAGACCTCAGAAACAGATTTCATTCGTCATCAAAGTCGGCAAAAGCAGGAAGCCAGTAGCTGTCCTTTCTTTCAGATCGGCTTTGAATTTCGATTTCCTTCTTGAGTTGTTGGACTTTTTTTATCCTGGAGATCTGAGCAGCAGCCAGACAGATCATGCAGATCTGCAGGAGGAAACATGAACATGTTAGAGACTGTTGTATTTTCTCATTAACCCAACGATTCACCCTTCAGATGGCAGCTGAGTCCTGTTTTTTTTTTTTTTCCTTAGATGAACTAAAGCAGCCGGTACCTCGAGCAGCAGCAGGCCGGCAGTTAGTCCGGCCACCAGCAGCAGGTTGTTTTTGGCCCATGAGACGATCTTCTCCAGGCAGCCGATGGTGAAAATGTCCTGAGCGGCTGGACCCTCCTTCAGCTGCTGCATCCCATAACCACACATGGTGTTCAGCACCGTCTGCAGGAGGACACAGCACATACCTCAGAGGTGAGAGGTGTTGAAGGTCATTGTCTCTCTGTCTGTCCCCACTCCCTGTCCATCTCCTCTGGTCTGAGTTCACGGTCATGTCTCAAAAAACAACACGCCACATAATCATTTACACACGTTTTTAAAATAACACTCAACACATCAGCTATCACAACCACCACTAGACAGACAGACACACAGACAGACTGTGATTGTGCAACCCAGTCTCCAGAATATACTTTGTACGTTTCTACAAACCACAAATACGTTACATTTGTACATTATGTAGTGGATATGCTGCATCTTTCAACAACTCTGTGGTTAATGTGTGGTTAGGTTTTGGCAGAAAAATCACTTGGTTATGGTCAGGAAAAAAAAATGTTTTGGTTTAAAATACCCTGCTTTGGTGGTACAGTCCTGGCAGGAAACTCAGTGATGTCTCAGTAAAAAACAACTGCTTCTCATGCTGGTATCCCCGCTGCAAAAACACCATGGTTGGTGCCTGAAAAGCTGCTGAAAAAACAGCAACAGGTTGCCTATGAAACACCAACATTTGGCAGCTGCTGGAAAAACACTGATCAATTGTTACAAAACACCCACTTTTGGAGTCTTAAAATCTGCTGGAAAAACAGCAATGACATGTTACACAACTCTCATGTTTGGTGCAGAAGAAGCTGCTGAAGAAACAGCAACAGGTTGCCTATGAAACACCAACATTTGGTGCCTAAAAAGCAACTGGAGAAACAGTGATGGGCCAAAAGATAAGCTGGAAAAACACTGATGAATTGCTACAAAACACCAACGTTTGGTGAACCATAAAAATGTGACGTACTGGTGGTTTGCAGAAACGTTCAGTGCCAACATCTCCTTCTAGTGAGTGGGCGAGTTCTGACCTGGTTCTGTAGGCGAACGCAGCAGGAGAAAGGAACTCCACAGACCTCCAGACTGGGGTTTGTGTCTGAACACTCAAAGTAGGCGTTGTGGGACCAGTCCGTATAGCTCTCAACTCCACAGCACTGAAACTACAAACACAACAAACTAGATCATAAAGCTCCTGACGCTGCCTCTCAGTCACTGAATCATTCTTCTTCTTCACCTTCTTCTGGATGAAGTCGATGGCGTTCTCCAGGTCGTGGTCCTCCCTGTAGCGGACGATGGCTTTCATCATCAGCTTCTCCGTCCTCTCCATCACCTGAACAACAAGATTTGATCAGATTTGTTTTGTTTTATTTGGTGATTTATTTGAGTTAATCTGAACCAGACTGATGAGTCTTTTGGACTGAAACGATGAGCTGGCTGCGTGGCGTGAGTCTCACGAGTCAAACAGAGGTTGGGCAGTTTGGAAAAAATCAACCGGTTACTCGTCATCCTCCAAATCTTTTCTCTTGTAAAAACAAAAAGTACTTTAATAAGATTTCACCTTTGTGTCACGTGTGTTTGTTTTCAGTATGGACTGAGCTCACTGTTGCCCCTTGTGGTTGTTGGGGGAAGTGACTTGGATAAACGACACGGTGGTGAAATGTATTTTACTGGACGTGTTTCAAACTGTATTTTTTCTGTTTTGCATGAGAGTAGACTTCAAGGAAAAAGTCACCGTGCTGCAGGAAGTGATGTGTTTATATTTCCTGTCTCATCAGAGCACAGTGATGTTACCATGTCAGTGAAGAGGTATCCCACGACTCCAGCAGCGACCTGCAGGAGGAGGACGGCCACCAGGATCCCCAGAAACTGCAGGAACAGCCAACACAGTAAGAACACTGCACCACTGACATGCAGAACAAACAGCACATTAAACACACAGCGACACGTCACACTGAACCCGACACAGCCCAGCTGATCAGTGATGAGTCATACCGCTTTCAGCAGGCAAATGGCGTTACGCAGCGCCCCAAAACACCCCAGGAACGTAATGAGGAACATCACAGAGCCGACGATGATCAACAGCAGAGCTGGCTCCAATGTCAGGGTGTCAACCACATCTACACACACACACACACAAACAGAAAGAGAAAACACACTGTTGAATTCTAGCCATTGTAGCAAGTAAAAGTTGAAACATGTCCGATAAACTTTCTGGTTCATCTTCAGGAATGTTATCAGCAGCATTGTCAGCCGCCACTCTGCCAGGGATGTTGGCATCTGAGACCAACACACCTTTTGCAGCAGTTTGATACACACCAGGCGAGTCAGTTTTAAGATCCTGACACACAAAACTGACTGGAGAGAGCTAGTGGCGACAAAAGCCCTTCTGAAGGCTGTGTCTCAACCAAAAAGTTGCACACAAACACACCGCAAAGACGACAGCTGACAGCTGACAGCTGACCAGCTCGTTCGTTCTGCTCCTGCTGAGAGGAAGTAACTCTCCACAGCAGCAGACGGCGGTCGTCTGTATTCATCATTCAGAACAGGAAACAGGAAGAGCGTCTTGATGCTAGTTAGCCAGTTAGCACATTGAACGCCAGTGAACAGTAACACAAACCATCAGGAAACGTTTCTGCTGAAGAGAAAAATAATCTGACCTTGTGGAACAAGTTGGTTTTTGGGTTGTCCATTTGTACATATACATACGTCCGTTTGTCCTGTGCTTGTGAACGTGATATCTCAAGAACACCACAAAGGACTTTCTTCAAAATTTGGCACAAATGTCCACTTGGACTGATTGTGTGATGAACTAATTAGAGTTTGGTGGTTCAAGGTCACTGTGACCTTGTCTGTCTCATTCTCATGACTTTCTTTAGATTTGACACAAACGTCCACTTGGAATTTTGTGATTGAAGGTCAAAGGTCAGTGTGACCTCACAAAACATGTTTTTGGCCATAACTGAAGAATTCATTCACTAATTCTGACCAAACTTGACACAAATGTCTAACAGGATAAAATAATGAAGGTCAAAAGGTCAAAGGTCAGCTTGACTGTGACATCATCATGTTTTAACATCATATCTCAGGAACAGAAGGGGAGACATTTGGTCAGATACTGAATTGGTGACTCTAATCTTGAAACTGTGCTGATTGTATAGATCTTCTGTGTGTGAAGCATCCATGTTTTCACTGACATGGATGGAGACTGTCAGAGACACTGGACTGGTGGGCGGAGTCATACAACCACAGGGTGGACTGGTGGGTGGAGTCATACAACCACAGGGTGGACTGGTGGGTGGAGTCATACAACCACAGGGCGGTAATTCTAGTTTTCCAAATCTAATGATGTGCCTTGAGGAAATAAACCTAAAACCAAAGTGTTTTACCTACGTTGTTAATTTACATAGAAAAACACCGTGTGCATGTTACGAGCAGAAACTGTACATTTCTTATGAAATCGTAAGTTTATTTTGAAAAGACACAACAAACGTAAACGTAGCAAAACTGATGCAGGAGGGAACCCAGCGCGGCATATTTTGACGCGTAGGTCCACTGACAAAGCGGTGAAGTCAAGTTGGGATGAGAACGTGTTGGGATGGCGGACGTACAAAACAAATGAAGTACGTTGTCAGTGAACATTTTGCTGACACGTTCAGCAATGTTTCACCTGTAACTGTACAGCATAAAAATAACTATTTTATTTTAATGCCAAAAATTATCAAATATCCCGTCTTTCAGAAATCAATGATTTGTGGGGAGTCTGTACTGTGATTCTTTCTCTCTGCGTGTTTCACTGAGGGCGGTACCCGTCCACATGCTCGGAGCGGAGCACAGCGGAGGAGAGACCGGTGAAGTGAACATTACTCCAGTTGGCGACAACTCATTACGACATGTGCAATAAAAGCAGCTGCCACAGGCTCATCGATTTTCAGCCAGCTCTGTGTAATCCTGGCGTGTGCAGATGAACAGTGTTTGGTTTCGCCCTGTGTTATCGGCGCCTGCAGCTCCTCGCCTGTCCGCCAGCAAAAATCCACCAGATGAAATCGATGATTGAGTCACTTCCTGCTTTGTGTGTGAACTGTACCAGTTATTACTGAGCTGAATTTTATACTTTTGTTAAATGTTCTCGTTGTTACGTGGAGTCAGTTTAATCAAACTTGTGATTTACATCCTGTATTTAACTGGATGAACGAACCCGTCCCAGTTTGAAAAGTACGTGAAAAAACATACAGAGAACATTTGTCAAAGACTCACAAGATTCTAAAGTCCAGCTCAGACCAAAGATCGGCTACAAGACGAAACTGTTTTCAAACGTTGCAGAGAAAAGTATCAGCGCTGTGAACTGGACTCAAGCCAGCTGATGGTGTCACCTGACACTCTGACACAGCTGGTTTTAAAGCACGTCACCTGTTTCAACAGCCAATCAGCTTGTAGTGAAGTCTGCTGGTCAAGTCAAAATAACCACAGACGGCGTGTTGGCTTGCTGCAGCAGGTGCTCCGTCCCCACAGAGCCCTCTGTTTCTGTCCTCACAGTGTGCCGGTGTCAGACGGTGGGTCACTGCTGCTGCTGGCTGTATGTGCTTATGCCCCGCCCACACACACATTCTCATTGACTGATGAATTGGCGCTGGTTATTTATATTATTGTGGTGTATTGATTATGAATACAGTCCATCTGATGCTGGTTTTGGAGTTGTTGACTAGAGATGATACACCGTGTCATTGTGGTCACTTCCTGTCAACCAGCAGCTTTTTACAACGTTACAGATCGGAGCGATGACAGTGGTTGTTGGTTTCAACTCGTCTCGTCGTGAATCTTTGGTCTGAACTGGACTCAAAAGTTCAGGATATGAAAAAGTTTTGTTGAGTGTGTTGTAATTATTTTCTGACTGACCTTTCTCCTTGGCAATCTTGGCGTAGATTCCAACCGCTGTGAGGATGGCGCTCACAACCTGCAGATGATGTTCATCGGGGGAAGTGACCCACATGAAGCACAGATAACATAAAATCAGACAAAATCTGAGCTGCTGGAAATTCTTTTGATGCAGCTAGGCTAACAGTTTCCCTCCTGTGCTAAGATAATTCAATTTAATTCCAATGTCAGTTTTATTTATAAAGCCCAATATCACAAATCACAATTTGCCTCACAGGGCTTTACAGCATGCGACATCCCTCTGTCCTTATGACCCTCACAGCTGATCAGGAAAAACTCCCCAAAAAACCCTTTAACAGGGAAAAAAAATGGTAGAAACCTCAGGAAGAGCAACTGAGGAGGGATCCCTCTTCCAGGACGGACAGACGTGCAATAGATGTCGTACAGAACAGATAAACATGATAAAATAAAATGATACATTAAAAGAAAGATCAAACAGATGTGGGCAGACAGTAATCACATCAGATATAATAACATTAATTTCTGTAGTAATAATAGTATTTCAGTAGTTAATATGTCATTAGTGCTTATTAATATATGATAGTATTTCTATATGTGACAGTAATATGTGTGCAATAATAATAGTAGTAGTTAGGCTGAAACATGACCCGGAGCTATATCTGTTCAGGTGAAACTGATCATCATCTGAATCATCTGACAGCGTGGGTTAAAACTAATCTCAAGAATCTGTGTGGGTGTAGACGTGTTTCTGCTGGTGAGAGGATGAAATCCTGACTTTGGGACTTTGGGTCTAACAAAAAGTGGGCGTGTCTGTGAAGGGGAGGCTGGTGGGTACCAACAGAACTTTCATTCAGACATCTTTGAGGTCAGAGGTCGAGGGACCTCAGTGAAACGGCCATGCCATTTTTCCCTCGTCAAAGTTGAACCTAAATTCAGTATGTCATTTAACCCCCTCCTGAGGAGCAAGACATGGTCGGTACCGCTGGATTCTTTAGGTCTTCTAGTTTCACATGACACCAGCATCATGTCATCACTCTCACTTTAAAACTCGGCCCGCTATGTGAATTTGTGAATCCTAGGATGGTGAAGATATGACCCGCCTTCCTCTGCCGTACGCAGCGATCACACAGGAAGTGTTTTGCAGGTTACAAAATGCGACGTACGTCACTCTGCCTTTTTTTCTAAATCGAATGCCACTAAAAAACACTTGCTGCGCCTTTTTATTGTTGCCAGGCAACCAGCCCATCACCTCCGTACCCTAACCGTCCCGTGTAATCAATCTACTGTTTATTTATTTATTTATTGTATGTAGTGTACCCTCCAGTAATCAGTTGCTGCCATGTTGAGGCAGAGGGTGCTGTCTGTAGCTATGGTTGAGGGTGAGAGGCTGTCAGCAGATAAACAGAGATCTGTGTGGGTACATGAGACCCTAAAAAAGAGGCTGGATCATGGGGAGTACCACCAGTTGGTCCAGGAGCTTCTCCTCCATCATGGGCATATTTTAGGACGACTCAGGGGCAGTTTGACATAACAAATATGAATAGTGGTCCTACCAAGTGACAGAGCACCACCAGTTTGTCCTCCATTGTTTACCAACTGTAAACAATGGGAGAAAGAGCAGACATGACGTTGGGCGTTTTTTTCCGCTCTGAGTTGAAACGCCAGGCGCCTAGAGCGCAGAAACATGAGGCACGTAGCAACATAAAAACTGCCTCAAGCTGCTGAAGCACTTCCTGTGTGATCGGGGTCTTACTCTGCGTCTGACTGGTTTACCTCGACATTCCCACCCTAAGGTTCACCAATCCAGCCAATGAAGGTAACCAGTACTAGCGGAGCAGGGCGGGTCGTTCCGTCACCACCCTCGGCTTATATAGGTCAGCCGGGACCTCTGGTACCCTGTTGGGTCTTAGAAGGTTAAAATTCAGTTAAAACATTTTGTTGGTCACTTTCCTTTGTGACAGTATATATATATTTTTTTTACTTAATAACTTTTAACATTTTGTGTTTGTTTGTTTTCTTCCAGGCAGCAATGAGCCTCCATATAAACGTCACTGTGTGCTGAAGCATGAGGACTTCATTTCATCACACACACCACATACTTTTGGCCATATGTTGAACAGGTACATGTAAATCAGTTCATATCACGTGTCAGAGTGGATCTTTAAAAAACAGTGTTGAGATTTTTTTTTTTTGACGCTATTTAATTTGTACATAAATGAATTGCTTCTTTTCAAACTTGTCACAGTGAGTTTGTTCTGATCGAGTTTTCCTCGCGAAGAGAGAGCGACCTCACTGATGAATGTGTGAGGTTACATGTTTGATCCACACAGAGACACTCACCCACAGACACTCACCCACAGACCCTCACCCACAGACCCTCACCCACAGACACTCACCCACAGACACTCACCCAGAAGACGTAGCAGCAGATGAACAAAGTGTACTTGATGGCTCTGTATCCTCTCATGTCCTCTCAGCAGCTCTGTGTCTTTCTGTCAGACTGCAGTCGAAGTCTGTTGGAGGTTTGTTATCTGCTCACATGAACGTGTGTCGGCCTGCAGGACACATTCCTGCTGTCAGGATCATCTCTGCTGCTGCAGCTGGATGTCGTCCTGCCGTCACACTGAGGGAGGAGGAGGAGGAGGAGGAGGAGGAGGTGGAGGAGGTGGAGGAGGTGTGGACCTGTCACCGTTGAATCACAACAAAACTTCACTTTTACAGGACCCAGGCTGACAGTCGTCAGTCCCGGTGGTGTCCTCCAGGGGGCTCCACTGTGTCGTCTGCAGACAGAAACTTTAACTGACCCTTTAACAAAGAACATGAACCTGATCCACAGCTCTGACTCTCTGTGTCCTTCAGTTAGTCTCTCAGCAGATACTGTTGTTACCCTCCTCCTCATCCTCTTCACCTCCTTCCCTCCTCCTCCTCTCCCTCCTCCTCCTCCCCCTCCTCCTCTCCTCATCAGACCAGATTGTTGCTGTGGGAGGATTACATTCACTCTGCTGTGTTGTCCTCTCCACTGCAGGTCGTCTCCGTCTGACTCCTCTGTTATTTGAGGACCTGATTGAGGACCATGGGCGTGCTGGACATCCTGTCGTCCATCAGAGACCGAGCCGACAAGTTTCTGAACGAGAAGAACGTGGTGACAGACTTCCTGGGGAAGTTGGAGGAGAAAACAGGGATAAAGAAGAAGATCATTGCAGTGGGTAGGTGAGGTCTGTGTGTCTGATGATGTTCAGTCTGATCGCTTCTCCTTTAACTCTTCACTGAAGGTTCTGCTGTGGTTCTGTTTGGGTCAGCACGTGTGTCGTTGCATGTCAGAGGAGCACTGAAGAGGATTCAGTTAATCCTCTGTGAACATGAAGTGAACAGCTGCTGTCTGTGAACATGAAGCTGTAAATGATGAGGAAGTTTTCTGGGTCAACATTCGTGCTGTAGATTTTAAAGTTCTGATCTTAAAGTCAATGTTTTATATTGACGATGGATCACATGACTGCAGGCGATGTGATTGGCTTTGACCCTGTGGGGTTTTTCAGCCTGTTTTTTCTCCCATAAATTTGTTTTTGCACATTCACTGAAGATCAGAGGGGAGAAGCCTCACATGTAAATCAGCAACAGTAAAATGAATATCTGTGAGCTGCCTGTGTCCACTACGGGCCACCGTCTTTAAACGTCCATCTTTACTTGCTGCTCTCTGCACGTCAGCAGATTTCAAGGTAACAGACACAGAAAATTTAAATATGAGATTCATCAGTTTAACACAAACTATATATCGGATTTTTGATAATTAAAAACAACACAGCTGGTTCAAGCTGCCCCCCAGCGTGACTAGATATGTGCCACGAGACATGACATCAAGCTTCCATGAAATAATAGTGAATCTGCTCTGATTATGGCACCACTTTATTTACTTAGACCACAGACTGTGTATAAAGATGGCTGACGTGTCTCCGCTCACCCACACTGTAACTGTACGCTCACACCAAAAGCTTCATGAGCGCCAGCGGTCGCTCAGGTCGCTGGCATCGCGCTGCCTGGCAGCTCTGGCAGGGCTTGCAGAAGGCTGCCAAGGGGCGGGGCTTTCAAACTGCGCTGCAGAAGATCTCTTTCTTTCTTTCACTGTCCCGCCTTAAGAATATTCACGGTCTGCAATTGGCTGCTGCTCGCTGCTGCTTCAGCTGTGTCGATGCTCATTTGCATAAAGTTGAGCTTCTCTCAACTTAACAGTGACGCTCCGGTCGCTGGCATCACGATGCTTGCTGCTGCCGACGCTCCAGACGCCCTTTGTAGCAAGCATACATTGATGAATGGCTGCCGGCTGCTTATGACGCTCATGACGCTTTTGGTGTGAATGCACAGTAAGGAAATGAAGCCAAAAAGTCCCAGATACAGCTGCTGGTGACATCATTTGGAGCCAGAGTCTGCGCAGTAGCGATCTCTGCCAGTATCGACTTCCCGCACATACACCCGTCTGACTCAGTTGTGAGCAGAGCCACTGATTGTGAGCACACTGATATTTTGTTAGGTTACACTGACCTTGACTTTTGACCTTCAACCTGTCATTCTAATCAGTTTATTCTTTGGTCCAAGTGGACGTTTGTGTCAAATCTGAAGATATTCCCTGAAGCTGTTGGGATATTGCGTTTTGAAAACTCCCTCTGGCTGTCGCCGGTGTGGAGGCATAAAAATATTGCAACATGCGTCGCAGTTTTTTTGTCATGAAATGAGGCGCTTCAGGTCGCAACATTTTGACCTCTGGAGGTCTAAAGTCCAGTTCAGACCAACGCTCCGTTCTGTAACATTGTAAAAACCTGCTGGTTGACAGGAAGTGACCGCCATGAGACGGCGTATCATCTCTAGCCAACGACTCTCTGTGCTTCTGATCTGTAACGTCGACAGGAAGTGACCGCCATGAGACGGCGCATCATCTCTAGTCAACAACTCTCTGTGCTTCTGATCTGTAACGTTGACAGGAAGTGACCACCATGAGACGGCGTATCGTCTCTAGCCAACGACTCTCTGTACTTCGTTCTGATTTGCAGCTTTTCAGACTTATGTTGTGGCTGAATATAATTTGTAGCTTCTTAAAATCTGAATGAGGATAGTGATAGTGAGATACTGGCTACAGTGATGAAACAAAACCAGCACAGTCACTGCATCCTGAGCTTAGCTCCGCCTAGGACGACTGTGATTGGTTAAAAGAAATACAAACAAGCCAGAGCATTTTCTCCTGTAGTAGAAAGATAATCAGTGACTCCAGACCTGTCTGTAGTGCTGACACAGAGCTGTGCAGAAAGATCCGGTTACATGAGACTCATAAATACACAGTCCTTGGTTGGGCAGACAGACTCCGCCCATTTTCCAGATACTAGTTTTATTTTGTGTTTTGGCAAACGTTAGCTCATGAAGCTAACATTAAAGAGTAACTTCAGTGTTTGGTGACAGAGATTTCAGGGCTGTTTCTGGATCGTTATCTTTAACACAAAGCTCTATCTCTGTAGGGATCCTTTCCATGATGTAGTCAGACACTGCCAGTAACAATCTGAGCCTGTCAGTGACAGAAACAAACACTGTCAGTGGACGCACACTGACGCTGTGAACAGTGCAGTTACATTACAGCCTGTTTCACTGCTGCAGCACCCTCTCTCAGTACTGTTGCTCCCATCAGTCACTGAGACACAAACACAGTAAAACAGGGTCCAAGTTAAGAAATGCCAAAGTAAGTGAAAAGGAAATTCAAAGTGCTAGACAGGCATTGAGAAAATATGTAAAACACATGAAGCAGATTTTAAACTATAAAACTACATAAAATTCAAAGACACATTTGAACAAAAAAAATCAAACAGTAAAAATCAAAATGCAGCTGCAGTGTGAGACATAAAAACATTGTCCCAAATTTATTTCCATAAGAGACCGCAGAAAATAAATGTTTAAGATCTGAGAGTTAGTTTCAGACGTGCGGCGCACTAAAACTGACTACAGCTGATGAAACAGAAACCTGCTGAAAGTATCAGTCCTGCTGTTGAGTTAACGGGCACAGTTCACAGGGAGCTTGTAGCGACACAACGTTGTTGCCCTGACGCTCTGGATCAAACTGTGCATCGATAATAAATCAATACAGAGAATAAAAACTGAGCACTGACGTTGAACCAGCGTGTTTCAGTGTTGAGCAGTGAACAGCAGTCTATTCATGCCACACTGATGCTCATACAGTGGATCAGTAGCACACTGACATGATGTCACTGTAGTGCCTGGTGCACAGTGTCCCCCACTCTCCCTGCGTCCTCCTGCAGTCACGTTAAAGCAGATTATCCACAGAGACAGACAGCAGAGCAGAACGGCCTCCATGTGCGAACCGCCACATAAGCTGATCAGAGGTAGGACACACTTCTCACACCACTTCCTCGCTCAGGTGCAGGTGTCTGCTGTAGAGTCCTCGCTCATTTCCTTTGTCATTAAAGGAGACACTCCAGGTCTGTGTTTACACCTCCCAGATATGATCACAGCTTCATGAGTGAACTCACCTTTGTCTTTAATTCTGCACAGATTTGATAGTTTTCTGATTCTTGGAAGTTTTAATGTTCATGTTTGGTGATTATCCTCTAAAGCCGGACAGACACTGAACAGCTTCAGGCTCATTTTAACCCACATTTGTCGCCCACAACTAAATTTAGAGGCTTTTTTTTTCTTAAATGTTTCTTCTTGTGACATGTTTGCTTTTATGGGACGGTTGACAGTGAAGACGCAGACAGGAAACAGAGGAAGAACAGGAGGGTTTGACATGCAACAGGTCCTCAACTGGACACAGGAAGTCCATGAAGGTCAATTAAAGGGATGTAAATATGTTGTTTTTTGTCTCTACACTGTAAAGTATTTGACTATAATAATAACAGTAATATTAAAGTTTATTTATGTGTCACGTTTCATACAATAAATGCAGCACAAAGTCCTGACAGTAAGGGCAGTATAAGCTCTGAGTGCTTCACATGAAAACAGACATAATGACCAAAGAACAGACAAACAAGGCGATTTAATATAAAAGGACATTTGAAACAGTTTAAAACATGAATTAACTGATTCACTAGAATCACAGAGCTGTAAAACTATAAATTATAAAATCAAGTAAGAGTTTAAAAGAGCTGCAGCAGCGTGAAGCGTAAACACAAATAGTTACCAAGGGAGTTAGTGATGTAGCTCAGTCCCAGCCCGTGGAGGGCTTTGTATACAAGGGGGAGGAGCTTAAGAACACCTGTTAATGTAACAGGAAGTCAGTGCAGAGCAGCTCAGACTGGCCTCATGTGCTCTCTCCTCTTGGTTCTGCTTCATAGCTGCAGAGTTTCAATCAGCTCAAGTCTCTCAGTGTTTTTTTTGGGGAGGTCAGTTAAGAGTGTGTTACAGTAGTCGAGTCAGATTGAAATAAAGACATGAATCATTTACAGTAAATTACTGTATCATTTTTACAGTAAATCATTGTGTAGTGACAGCTGCATACTGTGATGTCACAGTCGTTATGTCTGCATATTATTATTTCTGTGATTTAGCAGTGTGCTCTTATTAATGACTGTATTTCACTGTGATCTCACAGTAAACTCTAAATATTACTGTGATTAAACTGTACTTCTGTAAAATGAGAGAAAGAACTTACTGTAAGCATTATGAGGAGGCTGTTCAATGACGGCACAGTGGTGCAGTGGTTTGTCGCCTCACTGGAAGAGAGTTCCTGGTTTGAACCCCAGGGTGGGGGAGCCCCTCTGTGGAGAGTCTGCATGTTCTCCCCGTGTCAGTGTGGGTTTCCTCCAGGTGCTCCGACATGTTCTCCCTGTGTCAGCGTGGGTTTCCTCCAGGTGCTCCGACATGTTCTCCCCGTGTCAGTGTGGGTTTCCTCCAGGTGCTCCGACATGTTCTCCCTGTGTCAGCGTGGGTTTCCTCCAGGTGCTCCGACATGTTCTCCCTGTGTCAGCGTGGGTTTCCTCCAGGTGCTCTGACATGTTCTCCCTGTGTCAGCGTGGGTTTCCTCCAGGTGCTCTGACATGTTCTCCCTGTGTCAGCGTGGGTTTCCTCCAGGTGCTCTGACATGTTCTCCCTGTGTCAGCGTGGGTTTCCTCCAGGTGCTCTGACATGTTCTCCCTGTGTCAGCGTGGGTTTCCTCCAGGTGCTCTGACATGTTCTCCCTGTGTCAGCGTGGGTTTCCTCCAGGTGCTCTGACATGTTCTCCCTGTGTCAGCGTGGGTTTCCTCCAGGTGCTCTGACATGTTCTCCCTGTGTCAGCGTGGGTTTCCTCCAGGTGCTCTGACATGTTCTCCCTGTGTCAGCGTGGGTTTCCTCCAGGTGCTCTGACATGTTCTCCCTGTGTCAGCGTGGGTTTCCTCCAGGTGCTCCCACATGTTCTCCCCGTGTCAGCGTGGGTTTCCTCCAGGTGTGGTCACAGAAAATGAATGAATGAATGAAAAGAGGACGTCTTGTACAGTAATGATTCGGGGCTTCATGCTGTGAGATCACTGTCACACACTTCTTATCAAACACACAAAGTACACACAGTCGATACAATGATGGCAGGTTCTTTCTTTGTGATCACATATTTATTATGAGTAGCCGTGATGCGTGACAAATGGTACTACATTGTACAAAAACTGATGATGCTGGATGATGGTGATCTGCTTTTCATGAACGCCCCTGAGCAGAGCCTAAAGAAGTTAGACACTGTGAACCACTGTGCTTTGTGCGTTATTACTGGTTGTGGAAATCGCATACACCACTGTGCTCTGTGTGCCACTGCTAAATGGCCGCCTCTGTATGTCTGCAGGCTCTCGGATTGGTTGGTTTTTATATATAAATGTATTTTTGGCCTCTTATCTGTCTACATGCATGTGCAGAAACCAACATCAACATGGCCTTCACTCTCATATTCTACAAATGCTGGCTCCAAGGGTGAGAACAGAACTCTCCTTCTGCAGAGGGATGTGACACTGGCAGAGCTGATCACTGTGGGGGAATAAGTTGATATCAAAGGATCGAGAAATTAGCTCGTTTGGTCGATGTGACTGTTCCTAAATCATTTTAGAAATTGTGCTCACATCAGATTTGTTCTTGTCCTTGTATTTTATGTTAATTGCTGAAATCCTCAGTTCTCAGCTCCAAATCGATCAAAATTCAGCAGCTGGACTTTTGACCAAAACAAAATGATCCTCACACATCACAACTATTTTGGCCTCCAGTCTCTTTTAGGATCCATTTTAAAGTTCTTTTAATCACATACAAGGCTCTCAATGATCTGGCACTAGAGTTTATAACTGAGCTTCTCACACCGTACCGTCCAGACAGGCCCCTCAGGTCTGCTAACTGTTCCAGAGTCAGGGTTAATGACAGAGACTGATCGAACCTGTTTACACTCAGGTTGATAGACTGAGTGTGTGTATGGGAGTGTGTGTGTATATGCAGCCATGTGCACATGTCTGCATGCTTACAGGTATGTATGTGTTGGTGTAGGTGTATGTCTATGCTTATGTTTTATTAGTGTCACTTTTTTTGTAAAAGCACTTTGTTCCTTCAGCTCTACAAATAAAGTTATTATTATTGTTATTATTATTTATCTGCATCAGTGTGGACATGACGTCTGTCTCCGTTGTGTGTCTTCCAGGTGCCGTCTCACTGACAGGACTCTACCTGGTGTATGGATATGGTGCCGCCCTCCTCTGCAACCTGATTGGTTTTGTCTATCCAGCGTATTATTCGTGAGTAATTTTGAAATGAAGTTACAGATCCAGTTGTTGTGTTTTCTTTGTTCTCTCTTTGTTCGGACACACGTATCTGAAAAAATACGAGGTGCGTTCAGAATCACAAACTTGTGTTCTTTTAACATTTAGTAGGAGCTGCAGCTGCCCTTACAGTCAGGACGTGCTACTGTCTCATAACATCACGCCCTGAACTTTAGACTGCAAACTCTAACCAGATGTAGTAGAACATCCTGGTGTTTGTTGCACACTGTATTTAACAGACTTTGAGTTGGGACATACTAAATCTGTTACTGGCGAACTATAGTGCAGTAGTACAGGTACTGGAATGCATAGTGTGTCTGTAACAATAGAGGAGTCGACCACAGGTCTCAGAAAGCATTGCAGTATGATTACATAATTAAAATGTCCAAATAAAATATTGTTAAAATGTGTGAAAATAATGTAAAGTTTTGTGGTCTCTATATACTGCAGTGTGTCTGTGTGTTTGCTTGATGCTAGGTGTCTCACCTGGCAGCTGTAACTGTAATCCACGATCTGTTACTGTTACGCGATCATGGTAATTCCTCACATTACTTCTGGTGCTTTAGTTTTGCCTCCATGGCGAGCTGCTATCTGTCTGTTTGATTGGCTCATTTCATGCTGTATTTCTATTGGTTGGTCAGTAGACGTAGGTGGTGACAGCATCACACTGTCAGAATTTGATCCCAGGCTGTCTTTGATCACAGACCGTGACGACGGCCATCTTTGAACCTCTGACTGTGTGACGTAGGACCACCGTGTTAGAGCCACAACATGATATCGCCACATTTCTTTACCGCTGGTCGTCTTCAGTCTGGGACAGACCAGAGTCACACAGTGTGTACGGGGCTTAAACTTCTCAGACGGTTTCTTTTAACAGTTTGAGGCTAAAAAGGTAGAATTATTCAGTCTTTTACTAAAAGGCAAAGATGTGAGAAAAGAAGTAAGTGTCTTAAAGTTAAACTCAAATCTTTATACCCCTTAAATAGTTTCAAGATCCTTCAGACGCATCTCGTGACCCTTCGAAAGGATCTTAATACCCTCAACAAAACTCTGCTATGACATACGGAGCCTGAGTAACGCACTGCTGTTATTTTAAAAATAGGTTAAAGGTGGAGCAAGCGCCCGAAACTTTGTCAGACCAAGCTGTTCTTCAGATAAGCGACACGTCTCTTTGCCTGTTTACTGACACACGCAGCAGGTTGGGACATCTTCACTGGAAAAAACTGAAACAGTTTAAAGTTCCCATTAGGGTTGTGCCGATGGGCGATCCGATCACCCATCGGCGATAGAAGGGTTGTTTCACGATGTCTTTTTTAAATGACGATGCAATCGCGAGGTGTGGGGGGGAGACAGTGCGTGTGTGGAGCATGCTGACGAGATCGAGGCTGAACAAGGCTGAGTGAGAGGAGACAGAGGGAGGCTGCTTAGTGAGAGAACGCGTTGTAGTTTCCTGTAAAAATGTCCGTGAAAAATCCCCGCGATGTGAAAAATACATGCCGAGCAGTCACTGGTGTGCGGAGCGGAGTCTGCGCGGTCGTAAAATCTGAGCTTTGCGCGCACAGGGCTTGTGGACGTCCGCTTAGAGTCTGCGCGGACCTCCGCGGAATCTGTTCCGCGTATGTTCCGCCCGAGTATGTTCGGGCCTTAACGCGCATGTCGCAGAGCGGTGAACAAACCAAACAACACAATGTCAGGAGAAATTGAAAAGATATGCCGTCTATGTAAAGTCAACTTGCTAATTAAGGAGCCATTACATGTTAAAGAGTTTTATAAAGCTGCTCAAACGCCAAAGAGAGGCTATAAGTGAACGTTTCAGCGGTGACGCGTAATGACCCCCCCCCCCGGGTGATGACATCGTTCATCGGCGATTTCACTAGATGGCGATAGGACGATAGGATATGGACAAGATCGCCCAACTCTAGTTCCCATCCTGTCCTGCTGGTTTTTGAACGACAGGTATATTCCTCTGCTCACCTGAAACATCCTGACAGGTTGTCTCCACTCGTATCTGCAGAGTCAAAGCCATTGAAAGTGCGAGCAAAGAAGACGACACAAAATGGCTGACGTACTGGGTGGTGTATGGTGTCTTCAGCCTGGGCGAGTTCTTCTCCGATATTTTCCTCTACTGGTTCCCGTTCTACTACGCTTTTAAGGTGAGAAAACACGAACCAATGATTGTTGGCAAATTACTGCAACCTTGTTAGTCCCTTGGTATCAAAACAAGGTATTCAGAGAAGTTGCTGTGACTAATGAGGATCAAAATGTAGATAAGTATTTGTCCTCTGTGGTTCCAGTGTCTCTTCCTGCTGTGGTGCATGGCTCCGATGTCGTGGAAAGGCTCCCAGATCATCTACAACAAAGTGGTTCGACCCATCTTCCTCCGCCACGAGGCCACAGTGGACAACATGGTGAGCGACCTTGGCGGGAGGGCCATGGCTGCTGCAGAGAACCTCACCAGAGAAGGTACAGACCAGTTCAGCACCCACCCAGCCGCCAGAAGAAAATGTTTCTGCAAACCACAAATACATTACATTCATACGTTTCATATCATATCAGCGTTTCTAAAGTGACGTAGTATCTGAGCTGAACATGTTGTGAAAACTTAAAGTTTCAACGTATCTGCGAATAATGTGCCAATTTGACGTATCCGTCGTCTGCAGAAACAGTGCCAACATTTATTCTGGTGATTGGGTTGAAGCAGCAGTTCACTGTGTTCACACACCAGCATTAAGCATTCTTTTTAATTATATGATGAAATATTTCTCCCTCTCTCTCTGCAGTCCTGTCCACACTGATAAAGAATAAAGCTCTGGTGAATCCTGCACCGTCAGTTGCGCAGCCTGAAGCTAAAAGTTTACCAAGTTCATCCGCAGCTAAAGTAGCTCCATCAGAGCCAAGCGAAGATCGACCAGTACGTAAAGCGCAGCTGCTTCCCCCGCCTGACAGTTAGTCCACCTTAAAGGCCTCATGCGCTTTAAATGAGCCGAACTTTAGACAGAACCAGGCTTGCTGTTTCCTCCTGCTGCCAGTCTTTACGCTAAGCTGTGGTAACAGTACAGTATCATCAGCATACTAATTCATCACTGTAACCCTGACCTGTCCTCGTAGAGCATGTAGACGTGCTGTGTTGAGGTCTCAGCTGCAGTGTCTGTGTGTCTTCATGTGAGTTAGTGTTTGTAGATTTAGCCTGAGGTTCAGACGACCTCTTGGACTCACTGTGCTCGTCTCTCTGAGTAGTGTCAGTGCAGTCTGCTTGTTCAGCAGAGACGTTGGTTGCTTGGTTTGCAGAACATATTGTCATGAAATGTCTTGAGGATAAATGCTTAAGAATTTTATTGGCCCAATTATTTCATTCTCAGGACAAATTTTACAGTTTTAGCTCCACTGTGGCTGAAGTACAGGTCACAGTAGGAAGTGACACAGCGAAGTTCATCCACGTGTCGTTGCAAGTAGCTGGTGAAACGTATAGCTACAGACACAGTCCGTTTGTAGCACACACGACACCAGCGTGACCGTCCTCTACTGACCAATCAGACTGCAGGGTTTCTAGCTCCACCTTTTAGTACCAGATCTGTGTGCTAGGTACCCCAACAGAGGGGGGACCAAACATGGGGACGATAAGGAACGCTTCTGTTGGGACCATCCACAACTTTACACTGTGGAGACAGAAACAACGCCAAACTGAACTGAACTGAACTGAACTGAAGTGAACTGAACTGAAGTGCTGGGTGAAAACAAGGCTTAGATAAAAAAATGTTTGTCCAGTCATTACAAAACTTGCTGGATATGTTTCACAACATGTACAAAATGATTTTGAAATCGCTAACTAGCGGGGGTCCTGCTCCAACCATGTGCACTGGTCTTTTGCAAAATGTGTCCATAAATCAATGACACTTTGTCCAAACATCAACATACTCGACAGATATTTTAAATTCAGCTATTAAAACATGACCCAGAAATGTTTTCCCAATTGACCAATAGGTAGAGACGGTGTTGTTGAAGAAGATCTCGGCCCGACACAGATTGGGTCGTAAATGAATGAACATTTTTCCGATCATTGTTAAACCTGTTAGTTATCTTTTATTCAGGCGTGTGAAACTGTCAGAGGTCTTGATCCTTTCATCTGTTGATGGTCCATGTTGGCTTGAGCTGTGGAGTCATCGCTCATGGCTGTATTTGCAGTTTGGGTTTATAGTTAAATCTTTAGTGTCCTGATGGGAGAAAATGCTGCTCCACATGGTTGTTAACACTTTATGTAGATAGTCCGTCTGCACATAGTTTGTAGAGTATTTGTAACATTTCAGTGGCTCATCAGCTGAGACTGTTCCCTTTATTCTGTAGATGTTTATCTACAGAGCACATGCAACAGTTCACTGATAATATTCTCAGTTCAATAGTTTAGCTGAACTGGAACTATTCAATCAACCTGGGACACCACAGGTTACCTAAACATAGATTGTCACATATACTTTATAGATAATCTGTTAAACATCTACAGAACAAAACAAAACAGCTGAATTGATAAATCTTAATAAATAAACTGTTGAAATGTTGCTTATTATTAGTATTATTATTATTATTATCTATGTGTCAGCAGACACTCCAAATAAATAGTTATCACAAATTGTATGAATGTACCGTCAGATTAGAGATGAGGACGAGACAATGTTAACCCTGCTGTCCTGTTACCTGTTCCAGCCTTTCCTGGGTTAACCAGTATGGTAAGTTCACTGGTCTGGTGTTAGTGGTGAATGTGGTGGTGGAGGAGAATTAGCATGAGCTCAGTGACCCTCGTAGAACATCAGTGCTGTGGTTGGTTTAAAGGTAAAGCAGCTTGAGTGCAGCAGCAGATGGAGCTGACGTGATCCTCCATGAAGACCTGAACAGACCTGAAGGCTTCTCACTAGGGCTGCCCGAATCTGACACACTGAACCTTTACTGCTGTAGAAATGTCTCCATGCGCAGCGCAGACCGCAGCAGCAGCTGTAGAGATGTTTTTTTTCATGCAAAAACATTTTATTTATTTTTAATTGTTGTTTATGTGTCTGTTGTCTGCACGTCAGGATGAGCTCAGTGTAGACTGACGGTAAGTCGTTGGTGGTGACACAAAACCGTACAGAGCAGAATTACTCAGAAATGTCTTGTTGAATAATTCAGAGTTTTTTCAAGATTCTAAATTTACGGTCCTAATCTGTGATAAATATATAAACCAAAGCATAGCCCCGCCCACCACCAAAACTGAAAATGATCAGTAATAAGTGTGTTTGGTTCATTTTTAATTTCCAAAGGAGTTGCCTGCAAAGACCTGTGTAATGTGGTGCTCGTTATTGAGAAACTCTTGAATGAAACCACAGTGAATATACATTTATTCTTATTTTGTCAGACACTAAATTCTATTTGTTGAATTGTATATTTACTTTTGGTAGATGTCACACTGTGCACACCAACCAGCAGCAGCTCTTGGTGGTGGCTCGGGTGTCGGCTGAATTTTCAAAATAAAAGCCCTCAAGATAGTAACATCAGCTTACCAGGAAGAACAGACAAAGCTAAATTTTCAAAATAAAAGCCCCAGATGGTCACATGATCTGTTTTCTAAATTTAAAATCAAAATTTAAATTTTTTTTAATAGTGGCAGTGGATTAGGAAAAAAATCTCATCTAAAATCTGCTCCACTTTTAAATTCTACTACTCTCCATACTTTCATCAACAGACTTTATTAAAGTTTTAATCAGGTCACAAAGTAGTTAAATTTCTGCTGTACAGTTTTTGATGAATTGTCATAATTTCAGCAACAGAAACCATTTAAATAAAAAACATAATTTCAGGACATTAATGCTTGTACTTTCTCCTTTAATGGACCCAGTGGACCTTAATGTCTACACATTACCTGCTGCGTCAAAAGCTTGTGGTTAGGGTTAGTAAAAACCAGAACTGTTGGTCTCAACATTCATACAGGAAGTGAACAGCAGGCGCCCGGCTGAAAGTCTGGGGTCTGTTAAACACATCCACAAAATGATCTTTAAAAGAAAAGGATGCATTACCTCGTGTTCCCTGACTTCCGTCTTCTTCTTTTAGTCCTTCAGATAGCAGCAGAGGAAGAGGAGCAGAGAGCGAAGGTTTCACACTTCATCCTGACAGATCCCAGTGAGAAGAACACCTCCTGTCAAAGAGACTGATTTCCTTTTTATATCAACGTCCAAAACTCAGACTGACTCTGCAGATGCTGAACTCAGCACGGTTTGATTTTGTTTATTTATTTATTTATTTATTTATTTATATTTATTGTTGTTGTTTTTTTTGTTGGGGGGGGGGGGGTCAGTAGGATGTTTTTTTGTCTTTTAGGAGCGAAGCACCTGAAACTGGTCCATAACTAACGCAGCAGCTCGTGTTTAGCAGGCTGCAGAGCTGCACCATCATTCTGGAAGCAGCTCTCCACCTGCCAGCCTGCACCACCTGTGACATAGGTGGAGACGCTCCAGTGTCGCCTCCTACAGGCAAAGAAAGTAACAGCTGCAGAGGTTTGCTGCAGGCAGTGAGTGTTCCAGCTGCACTTTCTTTCTTTTTATAGCCACAGTTTATTTGTGGGTTTCATATTTAACACCTGTATAAACCACAGCTGCCTGCAGGTGGGGGCGGGGCACCTCAACATGTGCAGGTGCAGCACAGTTTCTTCTGGATCGGCTTTGGGTGCTTCACAGCAGTGACACTGTGTGTCCTCTTTTTGTTTTCATCACACATGTTGATATTATTTATGTGATTTCTTTTTCGTTTTGTTTATAAACATAAATGAATCTTTGACCTTGATACGACAATTACATATTGATAAGAAATAAAGTGCTAATCAGAATGAAACTAAGTGCACGAGTGCTCTGTCACATGACGTGTTGCCCGCAGCTGACAAACAGCAGTGAGGTAATTACAGAGTGCAGCTGAGGCTGATGGGATACCACAGGGGACTTTTACAAAAGATGTCCTGAGAAAAGTTTTCATCCATTCAGTGATGCTGTGTCTGGTTTAAAGGAGTAAGGAAGTATAGACTGGAAAATGAGGTAAAAATTCTGAACGGCTTATGGCATAAATTCAAGCCAAGGACATGAACCAAAAATTCAAACAATGGGCAAATAGGGGCCTAACTATATCAGATACAGTGACTGAAAAAAGAGAGATCAAAAGCTTTCCTGTATTAAGGAGAGAATATGAACTAGAGCACCAAGATTTTTATATGTATCTACAAGTCAGAGGCTCCTTTGACAAAGCAATAAGGCCGGACCTCCCAGGTGAACCCAAGAAAGTGATTGTAACTCTATGTAATGCATACAAGAACAAAACTGGAAGAGTGATATCTGAACTATACCAAAGGCCTGGTAGCAAATAGAAACACTTCAAAAGTGGGAAAAAGAACTAAAGGAAGGAATAACTGAAGATGTGTGGTTTAATATATGTAAAACACAACTAGCAGTTCCAGAATGTGGAAAGAATTCTGCTGGAAAAACATATCGAGATTCTTCATCACACCAAAAATGGAAAAGGGACGATCACCTGTTCAACAGTCCTGCTGGAGACTGTGTGGGGAGCAGAATGCAGGTCACACACATGGTTTTTAGCACTGTACCAAAATTATCAAGATTCTGGGATGATGTGTGGAAAGAGATGATAAAGATATTAGGCTATAACCACCTAAAACATGCATTGTGCTATATTCAGGTAATCTAACTCGGGAAAACATCCAGGACAAGGACTGGTATCTGATCAAGATTCTCCTGGCAGCTTCAAAAAAAGCAATCACAAGGAAATGGCACAAAGAAGACGCTCCTACTCGGAGGAACTGGCTGGACATTACTGATGAGATGCACATTATGGAGAGACTCACATATACTATAAAACTACAGCAAACAATTTGGGAAAAAACAGACGGGAAAAAATACCATCATAAAGACTGAGATCAGTTCTACTGGCACTATGCTCTGTGTGTACTGTGCTGTTTAAATGAGAAAATTAATAAACCATAAATTAAAAAAAAGTTAAGACCTTGTCTTAACTTTTTTTTTTAATTTGTAAAGATCACAGTTATTCTCAGAGCGTCTCAGACATGAAAGAGCTCCTGAGGAGACAAACTGTTGGGAGCAGGAGCTGCTTGTTGCAGAGAGGCAGATAACTACGCTGGCCGACATGTCTCTAATTAGAGTCAGTGTTTGGTTTGTCCAGTCTGGGCTACTGTAGAAACATGGTGGTGCAACGTGTTGATCTCCAGACCGACTATATGCAGATGTAAATCATCTCATTCTGAGGTAATGAAAACACAACCATTCTTATTTTCAGCTGATTATACACTAAAGAAAACTTACTTATTAAATTAGATTCCATTTCTGCCTATATGCCTCCTAAATCCTACAGACTGGACCTTTAATCCTTTATGTCTCTTTGTTTAATGTGTCATATACTCTTGTATATGAAAATTTAATTTGTGGTCATATACAGTATGTGAAACAATACAGACTATATATGGACATATATTTTGATCTAATAACAGTTTTTTCATATATCAAAACTAATGCTTTTGTAAATGTTATTTAAGTGTTAATTTATAGTATATAATATGAATATATTGGATAAATGAACATTTTTGATACAAATACATGAGGAATGTGTAGGCCACCTATAAGTGACTCATATGTGAGACACATCTGCTGACATATTTATAAATACTATATGATGGATGTCCAATATGATATTATGTATGTCATTTTAATATAAAGCCATGACTCAGCGTCCACCTGCAGCTGTGAGTGAACCCAACCAGCAGGGGGCGACAGAACCTGCTGAGCTGTCGACGTACTGACGTGGCAGGTAACGCGGTGACGTCACACAGTGCAGCGCGTCCTCATCCAGCAGCTTTGGTCTGTGTGTGTGTGACAAACAGTTTTTATATTTTCAGAAGAGTTTGGTGGGATTTCGGTGCATCAGTCCGTTGTCAGCTTGCAGGAGACAGTCTGTATCAGCGCTGAGACTCACCGGCTGTCATTCAGAGAGACGACCGAGCACTGGTGAGCACCGACTGGCTGTCATCCCTCTGGTTTGTTCCACTGACGTGCCGAATTCCGTTTAGCAGTTCCGGAAGTAAAAGAATACCTGCTTATAGGTAAAGATGACACTTTATCCTGTCCTTACCGAAGATGTCAAGTGAATCTTTAAGGCTTTTTGTTCAATTCGGCTCAGTTATATTTCACCGGAGTGCAACACATTTCTACTTCCAGACCGATTTAGCTAGCTAGTTAGCATTGATGTCCGCGGCGTGTTGCGCTGGACGAAAGGTTAACTGAGAGAAACAGCTGACGCTAAAACACCAAGCTAAAACTGTATATGTTGAATCTATATTGAAATTGATAGTCATTGAGTACTTCGCTTTATGCCGAATTGAAGAGTAAGACGTGACAACTCGGAATCAACTTTACGTCACGTTTTGCTAACTGTATATGTTCACCGACACAAAATATAATCTTAATTTAATAGATAAATCAATATAAGTCTGGGGAGAGCTTCACGTGCAGGGCTGTAGGCCGACTTAGCAGTTCACAGAGAAAACACCACACATCTACAGCTGCAGTTTTTTCAGTTTGAAGTTTATTCTGTCAGTTAAATTGTCAAATTTATCTTTGACCCTTCAGTGAGAAGTCTGTAACTGAACTCGATGATGTTTGTGTCCGGATGCAGGAGGTGGAGCAGGGTCTGCAGCAGAATGAATATTGGTTCTAAGAATAAGAAGCGGGTGGTGCTGCCGAGCCGTCCCGAACCCCCCACTGTGGAGCAGATCCTGGAGGACATCAACAGAGCCGCTCCCAACGACCCGGTCTTTAGCATCCTGGAGAGGACCGGACAAGGTGAGTCCACACAGACCTGCACAGTCCCTCTACACTCACTGGTGCTCCTGTAGTTTACTGACTGCGTCTCCTGTTCCCTCCTCACTGGTTCTCCTGTTCCCTCCTCACTGGTTCTCCTGTTCCCTTCTCACACTGGTTCTCCTGTAGTTTACTGACTGGTTCTCCTGTTCCCTCCTCACTGGTTCTCCTGTTCCCTCCTCACTGGTTCTCCTGTTCCCTCCTCACACTGGTTCTCCTGTAGTTTACTGACTGGTTCTCCTGTTCCCTCCTCACTGGTTCTCCTGTTCCCTCCTCAC